AGCTTCTTGGCCGGGAATGTGGCTCAGTGGCAGAGTGCCTGCTTAGCATGCATGAGGGCCTGCATTTGAACCTCGCACAGCAACACAAGGACCAAGCCTCTTTGAATACTTGCGCTTTGCCACTGAGAATGATTTATTGTCATTCACTGTTCCAGTTTTCTTGAAATCCTGTTTATATCTATCACCACTTAGAAATTATAGTAGTAGGCCCTCCATTAAATGTTGCTATTTAATGTAGTAGTAACAAAGCACATTTAGTATTACACAGATTTGTTCTTGGTATTTTAATAACTACTTTTGACATAGTGGGGTTATTCTGGAATCCTAGGCTTTTGTTTTATGCATTTAAAACCATTTTTTTTTTTCCTAACAAGGGACCCTCGGTGTTTACCGAGCTCCAAGGCCTAAACAGCTACCCAGGCTGAGGATGCAACAGATACTCTCAGCTTGGCAAAGGATCCCTGGCTTCTGCTCCAACTGGGACTTCAGCCAGCGGTCTGTGAGCTTCACACCAACTGATGCTTAAATACCCCGGTCTCTTTCCCTTGTCTTCTAAATGCCTTTCCTTTCTTGGGCTGTCTTTTCCCAACTTATTTTGGAAAATTCCTACTCTGCTTAAGTGTCTCCTCTGATAATTTAACACAATACCCATACGATGACTTATCACACTCTGTCACACTTACTGGCTTCCTGAAGGACAATAGAGGTCTTTATTATCCATCTCCCGTCCACTCTACTGTTTAGCAAAATGAGGTAAATAGCATTTTTAAGGTAGTACAGGTATTTTTCATACTAATATACTAGGAAAGAGTGATTTTGTTTGTTCTTTTTTTGTGACAGGGTCTCACTATGCAGTTCAGGGCAGCTTTGAACTACGCAGAGCTCAGGATGGCCTCAGAATCATGGCGAGCCTCTGGGTTCAGACTCCTGAGTGCTGGGATTATAGGTGTGCACCATGAGGCCTGGCCATTTTTCTGTTTATGGTGATATGTGAAATGCCTTTACAAATCAATTTTAAGTTTTAAAAAATTAGTTGAGTTAATTAACTAGGTAATAGTATGAATTGACAATCTGATAGCAGCAGATAACTTTGAGTCTTCTGAGCTCTCTAAGATCCTAACACATGGAAAGATGAGCAGTGGAAGGCCAGGCATGTAGCTCAGCAGCAAAAGCGCCAGCCTGACAAGCACAAGGTCCTGAGTTTGGTTCCAGTACCAAACAAACAAAAATCAAGATGAGTCCTTTGTGCTATTTTCTCAATTTCATTTATAAGTCAGATACTATTCCAAAATGAAAAGTTAAAGATCAAAATTTAAAAAATTCTGAGCTAATGTGCTAATTTTGTTATTGTCAAAATCTAAATGAATGGTATTTTCAAAGGGGATTACAAATTATTTTTAAAAAATCTCAGGGAGGCATTAAAAAACCTGAATGAAAAGATAACTTACAAATTCTACAATGAAAACATTTTATTTGAAAAGTTACTAGAACTAGTTTTCACGGAATTGTACCAAGAATTTAAATGAAGAGATATTACCAATGTTACCTGGGACTCAAAAAATGAAACTTTTTAAAGCATTCTGCCAGAACAGTCTAAGTGTACAAATAACAAACACAGTCAAAAGTAAGTTTACTAAATGACATTCAATAAGAACTAAAGTACTATACGTCATGGCTTAAATATGATGTTGTCCCAAAAGCTTACATGGAGAGGATTTGTTGCCCTAGGCAGCACTGTTTACAGGCAGGGCCTAGAGGGGTGACCATATCATGCGGACACTAATCTCATCAATAAGGTAACCCACCGATGAAGTTGGTGTCTGGATGGACCATCTGGCCATGTGGAGGCCGCAGGTCGCTGGGGTGGGATGTGAAGGACATCCCTTACCTCCTCGCTCTGCCCTCCGGCTGCCATGGGTCTGTCCTTCACACACTTTCCACTGCACTGTTCTCAGGTCCACAAACAAAGCAGCCAACTGACCAGGGATTGAAACTTAGGAAACCCTGAGCCAAAATAACCCTTTCCTCGGCTTGTTCAGGTAAAGTGCTTTCTCACAGTGACAGAAAGCTGACCACCACACTACAGGATGGTACAGCAGGAATTAGGGACAGAAAAGCAAGCATAGATGAAAATTTAAAGTGATTTGGGCTTTACTACATTACATAGGAACAAAAAGCTAGGAAAAGGTATATCTTAATTTTAATATAACCTACATAGAAATGTTTCTAACCCTTCACTGCAAACTAAAATGCAAGAAACAAATGCAATCATTGCAACATTCCTATCAGTCCTAATCAATGGAAAAGGAAAAGAATAAAAATTAAGCCATATATACTGGCAGAGAGAAAAACTTATATGTGGATGCCATGATGGCTTACTTAGAAAATCAAAGTGAATCAATTGAAAAGCTATTGGAAGAATTATTAAAAATATTAATTAGACATAACACACAGAACAGCATTCTTATGCAGACAGTAAACCTATTAGAAAATGTAAAGAAAATAAGATCCCTGTCAAAATCAAACAAAAAGTATGAAATACCAAGCAATAAACTTGGCAAAAAATCATGTAAGATTTATATAGTAAAATGGTACGGCTTTAGTGTAAGACATCAAATATCAGGAAAAACAGAAGTACATAGTTAACAGAAGAACAGTATTTGGACAGTAAGATTCAACATTGTGAGGCTACTTTTTCTAAACAGAGAAAGAAAATATTGGGAAGCTGTGGCAGGAGGAATGGACTTTGAGGTCAGCTGAGACTACATGCTGAGTTCAAGCTGGCTTGGAATATTTAGCTCTGTTTCAAAAATCAAACAAAACATTTCCCAAAGAGAGCTGGGGATGCAGCTCAGTGGAAGAGCATTTGTATGTCCTGGATCCCACCATGAGAACTGCATGTGGGGAGAGGGGTTCCGAAGGGTTATAAGAACAGAACTTGATTCTGACAGATTCATAATGGGACAATTCACATCCATGAGCACACACAACGAAGACTGCAGCGTGAGAACGGACACATGGATCAAAAGAACTTCAAAACGTTACACTAGTTACCCACACGCACACACACATTCCCGTGTGGTTAGATTCAAATTAGAAAAAAATTAGTCCGCTCAATAGAAAAATAGCAACTATTCATTTATCAAGAGAAAAACGATGTCTGACATGTTTAGCTAACACATGAAAAATTGCTCACATCACACCAGCAAATCAGTAAATACAATTAAATCAACTTTACTGTAGCAACAATAAGTGAAAATATAAAATGGTGTTGAGGGTATGAGGAAAATGCATACCCTAGTGGGAATATATATTTTTGGAGACCAGCTTGACACTATATACTCTATTAAAACAAATAAGGACGATGGTCAACTGAAAAAATTTCACCTCTGGGAAGCTCTCCTAGAAATATATCCTGCAGGCAGCACTAGCTGCAATTGAAAAAGCCATTAATTTAAATGTTCACAATTGGGTCACGTGGTTAAATTTTTATTGATTTGTGCCTGTTAAAACTGATAGCAGCTATATATGCACCGATGTAGAATTTACGATAGTAAATTACAAATGTAATTCAGAGATTAAAGATATAGCTGAATGACACAGCATGTACAGGGTTCAACCCCCAGCAGCAAAAGTAAGTAACGTTTTGAAATAATAGCACCCTCTCTTACCCCAACGTGTGCATACAAGAGTACTACACAGGGAAATGTGTGCAAGGATACACATCAGGGGACCCCTTGGTTGCCTTTGGAAAGGAGCGGAAATGTGTCACATGGGAGAAGAGGGGAAGGGCTCAAGGGTGAGGTTCATGTCTTCAACTGTCTGGTTTGTAGATTGTTAAAATATGCACATTCACTAAATAATCCTTTCAAAGGTTTTATAATTTATTAAGAACAAAGAAAGAATAGGCTGGATTGGAACCAGTCTGCTAACTTCTTGATTCTTGTTTTATTCTAAGCAGCGCCATGCACTTTTATTTTTAATCTATTTTTACATATTTTTGTTCTTGGTAAGATTTTATTTGAACAAGGCTCCCAATAGACAAGAACCGTTCTCAAGTCCCTTTGAGCACTGACAACCTGAGTCTACAAATCAGTTTCTTACCCATGCGATCATGGTCAGGAATACTTCAGCCTCACAAACCAGCTTCTTGTCTTTTGTGGAGTGGGGGTTAAAACAAGGAACATTTACCAATGAGCTATTATATCCTTGTTCCTTTTAAAAACATTTTCACTTTGTGACAGGGTCCTGCTTAGCTGCCCTGTTGGTGTTTCATTTTTGATTCTGTTTTTAAGTAGCTGGGACTGTAGGCATGTACTACCATACCCAAGTGATAAATTAGTTTTACTAATACATAACTCAAAATATACTGTATAAAGATGTGTATAAAATTTGTAACAAAAAAATGAAAAATAGGGCTGGGGATTTAGCTCAGCGGCATTAAGTGCCTGCCTTGCAAGCAGGCAGTTGTTTGATCCCTGGTACCGATTTAAAAAAAAAAAAAAAAATCTCTTTTATACCATGTATCAACTTTTCTAGTTGCAGGGGCTGTGTATAGGACTGCTGATGACCAATGCTGATTTTATTCAAATCACTAACAAGTGTATGATATAACCACTAATGTTATGTCAAAAAAAGTATAGAACTCAAGGACATTTGAACAGATTTTGATATTACGGTTAATGAAAAAGTAATTTCTCCCTAATGACAGTTTAATTGCTTGCAGGGCAGTAGTTTTAAGGAGTTAATATCAGCATACTCAAAAGTTGGCTTTGTTCATATTTATCTAGTGCTGAGAACTGAGCTAAGTGCCTCTTGCACGCTAAGCACACTCCAAAATAGAGCTGTACCCTTTTTCCTAGCCTTATCCCAACCAAACACTGTTTCAATATTTCACACGCTCATTATTAAAAGATAAAACCTGAAAGGCTAAAGAACTGTGTCGCTCTTTCTACTTGTAACGTGACAAGACACACTCTAGGTGAATAATTAACCAACACTTCTCTTTTCTTTGCCATTTTAATAAAAAATATATAAACTTTTACATGACAAAATATATTTGACATTGAATTTGCAATGGAAATCTCAAAAACATTAATTTTATAAAAGGATGTTCAAAGGCAAGTTCCAGAGACATGAAAACAACAAAGCTTTCCAAAAGGCTAAAAGTGAGTCCAATTCTACTCAGGCAATCTGACTGTGTCTATCAGAGTTAAAATGTACAGACTTCCGGGTGTGACTGTGCATGTTTGCAATCTCAGCACTCTGGAGATGAATCACTAGACTACAACAAAATGGAAACAAACCCTAGCAACATAAACTGCTAGACACTTACCCAATAGTGTCTAACTATATATATTAAAGTACAGTGCAGAACAGTTGACAAATGCAAAAACCTAAAAGCAACCTAAGTGATCACCAATGGACAACTAATTTAATTATGGTATATCCAGAAAGCAGCACACAAGAAAACCTTTTAAGGAATGAGGTAGGTCTCTATGTATGGACTAATATGGAAAGGTCTTCAAGATACACTCATAAAAAATTATATTACGTAAAAAAAGGTAGCACAGTATTAAATAGTGCACTAATGAGGAAAACAGCATGTCAGGGTCACTGGCACTACAATTCCTTTGTATCCTAACAGCTGTGATTACTTTTAGGTATATGAATAAAGGGTAGAGAAGGGGGTGTGAAATTTATTTTTCTATCTGTATCATTCTGTATTGTTCTAGGATTAAACTACACATTTTCAACATTACTTGTATAACATTATTTCAACAGAAGTTAGATAGGTAGGTAAATTACATACATTCATTTCTTTGTATTTTTCCATATAAAATAATTATTTTTACATGAACATACATATCTATACATGTATGCATATACACACAAAGAAGATAAAATACAGAAATGTAGAAATACACACATAAAGACATATGGTAGAATTAAGTACAGGAGCATCCGTCCTGTCCATGTGACACCTACTACCCTAATGTACAACACATAGTACTTCATTAATGTAACTGAAAGATCTCAAAGCACTTCATCAATAATGCTCATCAAACTCATGTGAGTTTCCTATCCTGTGATGCTGGAAGAGCATGTACACAAAGTGTCAGTGACCACAGAAGACATTCTCAGTGTCTCCTGTGATCGGTTCTCATCACTACATGATCTTTTTGCCTCTATGTGGCCTCACAGCTTTCAGAGGCTGGTTTTCGAATCAGGTCGCCAAAATAAGCCGTGATTGTCTTCAGTTTATTGTTAAGAAAATTCTGTTCTATTTCCACTTGCCCCCCGGGCCCAGCTAAGGATGCCACCTAAAAAAGATGAACAGAAGGAAGTTATACAGAAGCTTGATTTCAAAACAATTCTTATTGCTTTTTATCAAATAGCAACAGACTTCACCTTTTTAATTAAGTTCCTCAAATAACCAGGCATCTCAAATGTTCACTGTAATTTCCCAGACAACCAGGAATGCAATACCTGGTGGTATTGATGTTTCAGACCCTTTTGATATATTAAGATCAAGGCATTATGTTTCATAAAGACTTATCTCTTCAATGCCACATGCTGAAGAACTCAGAGGAAAAGAAATGAATAGATCCCTCCTCAAATCTCAAGCTTATTAACCTGAGTCATTTAAAGAACTATTCACCTTTGCTGCTGCCCTTGTGCCTTCTCATCTGCTCAGTAATATTTACTGGGTACTGCTATGTTGAGCTCCTATTAAAATATTCTCCCTCTCTAACCCAAATCTTTTGCTGGTCTTCCTACGCGGATCACCTTGCCTACCTGTTGCTCTTTTATGTTATTTCACATCTTAAAAAAACATCCTGGTAAAATATACTGCTCTTTTAAGGTCTATGGACCACAGTAATTAATCCTTTTATTAGGGAACACAGAGCACCCTCCCTTCCCACCTCCAGATCAGCATCAAAAGGGTGCCAATCAAATGGCTACTCGGTAGGTGTTAGCTGCTAGAGACTCTTGCGTTCCTAACAGTATGTTTGCATTGGTCCTTGTTTTACTTCAAACTAACAATGTTTTATCTTAATTTCTTACAAGTTTTGTTTTCGCTCAGTATTCTTATTGTGACCTAACCTCTTAGAGCTCTATTAACAACAAAATACAATAGCTTAGAACTTATGATTGTATCACCAGTGATCAGTTTATCAGGGTAGCAAGAACAAAGATCTAGGGGAAGGGGAACGCAGGTTACAGCCACACACAGTGAGAAAACAGAAGTAACTGAGTGGTAGAGAAAGGGACACTCCAAGTGTTAGAGACAGGCACGAACTCAGGAGATGCACATTTATCTAACTGCTATCATCAAACTGTAGTCTGTTACTTTGTGAATTTCGTGCTCAGTCAGTGTAGTTTGGTTCTGAGGGCTGAGAGAATCTAATCACACCTGACAGAAGGTAATATTTACTGCACATTATCAGTGAGTATACCATGCATTCTTCGTTTAACGACTGAACTACAATCTTGCAACTAGCTCATTAAATGAACTGAATGTTAAATGAGAAATTATTTATATTACATGCACTACAACATTCAGAACAAGGAAATGGTCAAGGGAAATTCCAACTTAATTTTGCTTTTAGTTGCATAACTCTTACATGCAGTACCATAATGCGTAATAGCACATAATCCTGTAGTACTACACTGAATAGTCAGCAGGAACTACAGTACTGTATAAACAAGGGGTACTGTTAAAAAGAGGGGTGGAGAGCTGGGAATTTACCTCAGCAGAATAAGCACCAGCCTGGCACACACAAAGTCGTGAGTTCAATCCATGGTAGCAAAAAACCCCACCCAAACAAACAAATAAAACAAACACTGATGCTCTAAAAACAAGATGCACAGAATTGTACATCCCCCAAAAGCTGGGTTTTAAGTTCAAACAGTTGTTAAAGAGTCAGGTTGTTAAATGAGAAATACTAGTATTTAAAATTATTTCAACTTTGTGTTTAAAAAAAGGTCACAGAAACAGAACTGGGGAAGAACCCAATATGTTTTTATGTTTTGGTTGGTACAAGGTTTTTTTTTGTACCGGGGAATGAACTCATGACCTCGTGTTTGGCCAAGCAGGCACTTAGGTGGCTGAGGTAAACCCCGGCCCTGGCTGGTACAATCCTAAAAAGAAAAAGCTGCCCACTAAGGCAGTGGCAATGTCATCATCAGGTCTCACCCTCACCCCCAACAGGACAGGAAAGAGAAAGGATGTACCTTTAATCAACAGAAGTTGTACTCTGCTGTTTGTTCAGAAGGAATATTTCATTGAAAAATAGTATCACAGTGGAACTTATTAGGAAAAACATTATCCTACTTTGAATTTTTTACAAGAAAGGACAAAATGAGGAATTTTGACCAATACATCTAAAGTGTAACTTTCACAATAATTTCTGGAGTTAAGATATAACTGAGACCCAGCATTTGTTTGTTTCTGTTAAATAATTTATTTGAAGAAGGCAAGACTGGCAAGCTGAAGTTTTCTGGAGGTAGCAGTGGGGTGGGGGTCGGATGAGAAGAGAAAGGAAAGGCCCATCAAGTTGGTGAAGAGCGAGCCAAGGGGAACTAAAACAGGAGCAAAACACCTCACTCGATAGGTCTGGCAGGATCCAGTCTGCTAGCAATTTACTCCATCAATTCAGAAAGCCATTCTGAAAACCCCTACATGTCTCCCTAAAAAGGGCCTTCTGAGCAAAAGCAAATTCTGCAATACACTCAAGATACAACTAAAATAGTTATCACACACTGTATGAACTGTTACAGAATTATAGCAAAAATACTCTCTTCTGACTTGTGTCTTTTCCTTTCTCTGCCTTTTAGGGGAATGCACACATGTGGGTGCTTTGGGTAAGACAAAGGTGGGACTGTGGATGTTTTCTGTATCAAGAGTTCACAAATTTTACAACTATCTAGTAAGGGTTTATAGCTTCCTGTTCTAGGTAGGGAAGTATGGCAAAACCAATACAAAATGTCTGCCCTCTGAATTTTATACATTGTGGCTAGGAAAGTCACATGATGGACTGAGAACTGTCCCTAATCCTGAATCTGGATGTCAACATATAATGCATGGATTTAGTGCTCAGGGAGAAATTTTTACAAAATTTAACAAACATGTTACTTTCAGGTATGCTGAGTAAAATAATTTCTAGCCTTATACTTTCTACACTTTTTCAAATTTTAATGTTAGAATTTTAGAACTGCAAAGACTCATTCATGTTCAAGTACATAACTCATACTTTGCTTTGAGCAAACAATGCTATTTCCAGCTGTCCTAACTAGCTAACACTAATGTGTTAACTGGAAAATTGTTATTTGACAAATCGTTATCTGGTTTTTCCGCCTTTCTTAAAGTCTAGTAAACTGAGGCAGAGGGAGTGGGAGGTGAGGAGGACAGAGGGAAAGTGGCAGGCAGGTAAATGAAGACAGGCAGTCTCTATCACGTCTGTTTTTGAATTACTTAAATGTTAGATTTAGCAGGGTATCCACCTGTCTGGGCCAGTCTAGAACTGAGCCTGAACTCTCTCTAACTGCATTCTGTTAGGCAGTACGATCAGTTTAGCGACCAGAAGCAGGTGACAGCATTACTGGCATCTAAACTTAGCTTCCCTGTTTTGGGGAGGTGACCAATCCCCAGCATGCTGGGCATTGTCTCGTATCTGTCTAGAAGTGGATGCTGAAGACGTGAGGCCTGTCCTTTACCAAGCTATATAATCTCGAACAGACCAGCGGACCAGGGACCCCATTAGCTGGGCTGGTAGGTCGCCCGTGTGTGGTGCAGAAGAGCGGGACACCCTCTACTCTTCTACTGACATCACTGGCAGAACACTTAGTCACAGCACCCTTGGAAATACAACCTTGTGCTCAAAATCACTGCAGCGAAACTGCCCTTCCCACCTGATCTGGGCCTCTCAGCTTCCCAGCTTCCCCAGAGAATGATAGACGACAGACTACGAGAACACACGATACTACTCTCATTATATAGCACCCTTCTCCTAAGAGAAGGCCAGTTACTACACATTAAGGACTGATCACAGTCCACCCTAAATTGCAACTGTATAATTACAGTTATTTGATTAAGAACAGACTAGATCTAGAGATCTGGGCACCAGTATCTAACCGGGATAAGAGAATACTTGCAGCTGATATGGCTCAGCCAACCGGTGCTTCCACTAGGTCACGAATATCCAGCCTTCTGCATCGTTCTCACCAAGCAGGAATGGACCAGAACAGATTCCGTGGAAATCCTTCTATAATGCCTTTGCTTTGTTACTTCACATTCTAATCACTGCCTGGATCTCATGTTGAATTACTCCTGTGTTTCTTCCTGGCACTGAATATGCTGTCAGTGGGAGACCAAGCAGTAACACTCCCGTTGTAGCAGATCGGTGGGGACACAGATCACTAAGCTTCCCTAGTTTATTCATCAATAAAGTCAGTGTGATAACCTGACAATGCCTACTTCAGTGTTACAATGATCCAATAAAACATACAGGGGCATGCTACGAGTTCCAAGGATGCCATTCACAGGAGAAACACTGCCGGAGTCCTACGGTGTATACAGAATGCAGCACACTGTTGGTTTATAAATGCGCTTTGTGTGCTCTGAGTTGAAAAGGTTGGCTATTTTCTTGCTCAGGTGTGGTATGATTTACAATGCCTACACGTACCGGGAGCTCTCTTTCTACTCTTTCACCTTCTGGTCCCTGAACCGGGGTGACGGGCCATCTCCTGGAACTGCTTCACAGTACTTACTATGTGGATGTAGTTTTGGCTATGAGAACACTACCATTAGACCACATTTTCACAACATTACTTCTGAACACTTTGACCCTAATTTTCACTCATTCTAAAATTTAGAAAAAACGAAGGCACTAATTTTCTGCTTATTAAATAAACGGATACTATGATTACTGAGGATATCTGTAATAAAATCTGTGGCAACTGTTTACTGTATTCAGCCAAAAACCACTAAATATGCCATGGAGTTGAATTACTTTTAAAGATATTTTCCAGGTAACAGTATTATCTAACAGATTTTTAAAATTTATAAATGGTACTAATTATTCAAATGCATATGATTCTGTTCTTCTGTATGGCAAATTTTAGAAATGTAGCCAATTAAAAAAGTACCTTATATCTCTGCCAATTAACCAATCAACAAAATAAAATGTTGGGGGTTGGAATGGAGCTCAGTGGGACAGCAGCTGCCTGGCATGCACTGCCCCTCGGTCTGGCTCCCTAGCAAACCTTTATGCAGCTGTCAGAAGTGTGGTGATTACTGCAGTCAGAACCTTTTCTCTCCATAGACATCATGATGTGGAGCTAATTTACCCCTCACATCCTGCTTTCTCCTCAAAATGCCAGGGATTGAACCCAGGGCCTTGCATACGCTAAGAACCCATTGAATACACCATGGAATGGAATTTAAAAAGCCAATGGGAGCCTAGAGAATTCTGCCAACTAGAAAATTCTCTGCAATAAATCTAACACTGATCGCTGCACTTAAATAATCCTAAGAAGCTTCTCACCTAAATATACCATGAACATAGTATTTTTCTCCCAGAAGAGAAAATGGAATAGGTGGCTTTGGCCCAACTATTATCGGGATGTCTGTCTAAAGAAGACATTAAAAGTGGAGTAAGCCAGGCTGGTGAATTACACATGGAGGCCTGTTTCTTTAAACATCATTCTTTGGGATTTCAATGTTATCTTTGTCCTCTATATTGAAATGAATGAATATACAACTCTGAGTGACTTACTTTGAACTGAAAACTACAAAAGGTATCAATCTTCTGAAGTTAGTTACATCTAATTAGGAAATTAAACGAAGATAAAAAGCTACTGTCATCAAAGATGGCGGGGTCCCTCCTGTCATCATCTAAGGGCTGCTATGGGAGTAAAGTCTTCATGTTAAGAGATTCCACCCACCCCGAGTCTTCAGAGGTGGTGCTTGATAACCATTCTGGGAAGCTTCCATCTGAGACAGGTCAACCTAGCCAGGCCAGAGGCCTCTCTCCATATTGTTTACTGCTTAAAAGAGAAACTTCTCATGTAAATGCAAAGCTAGAATTGGATTCTACGCTGGAATTCCGTGGCTGTCAAAGGAAAGAAATGCAGCGAAGTGCAGGCAGATAGAGGCAACAAGTAGATACAAATACATTCATTCTGGGCTCTTTGAATTGAGTCTCCAGGTTTCAACTGTGATTTTAGAAAATGAGATATATCTTACAGCCAACGAGCATTTCAGAAGATTTTTTTCACATTATTTAGTTCTTGGGTTTGACAAACAGAAGATGGATAGCAAGGGAATTGTCCTGGAATAATGCCCTAAAATTAAAAGGGAACTGGCGATGAAGGTTAACAGGGTACCTAGAAAATATTTCACTGGACACAGAGCAACCAGCAATATACATGAAATGACTTCAAGTAAGTTGTATTTGTATAAAGTCCATACTCAGTTTAGGACAATACAAGTACTATCTAGCATGTAATTTCCCTGGATAGAAAATTAACTGTCTCCTTTCTTGGGGAAAATGCATGTGAATTTCAAATACCAGACTCAAAACTGTGGGAACCCAGCTACGTATTTCATAAATGCCATGTAGGGTGTCATTTCTTTTGTTTTAAGAAGAAGAAATCAATTTCCCATTATAATTTCATGTAAATCCAACACCAAACAAAATAATGTCCTTGAAATCGCATGCATTTCTGACTTGTATTTTCTGGTGTCTTTGCTCCCTCTAGAGGCAGGAAACATGAATGGGTACCAGTCCTAAGCCAGCCACACACAGACTAAAAAACCTGAACACTCTCTCTGTGAAATGCTAACTAGTTGAAACTTCTACGAGAAGTAGTGACTTTCCTACTGTTACTTACCTATCACGTTAACGTAAGGACCGTGACAGTGCTCAGCAAATACTAGTGTGTTTCTCATGTATGATTCTGAGATAAGAAAAGGCCCTACCTTTTTCTGCCCATTCTTTGAAACACTTAAGCCAGAGGCCCTTAAAAGTTCTTCAGTAATGGCTTACCTGGTCAGTATCAGCATTTCTTGGCAGAAAATAAACAATATTATTAGTGATCTTCTGAGAAAGTCTGAAAATTTCAAAGGTGGAACGCAGTTAAAGAAAAAAGCAATTCACTTCAAATCAAAAAGTGATTACTTATCAAAATGAACACATTCCACTCTGTAGTAAAAGGCACAGATTTAAACTGTCTAATGCAGTGGTGGTGACGTGATAGCGTATGTGCTGAACAGGCTATTTACATCACTGGAAGCTTTAATGGGGGGGGGGTCACCATCACTCAGTGGAGTCTGGGAGAGAATCAAACATGCGATCTGTCCGGAGAGGCAGAGATTAGTGGAAGGTAAACCTAGTTATTCTATTATCCCAGTGGCTGTCAAAAGTCAGAAATAAAAACCTTCTGTCATCTCCTAATTGAGAAAATAGAACAGTGAACACAAAAGCTCTATACCACTTTCTATCAAGGAAGAAAAGTTAAGATACTCAGCAGAACGGCCCAGATCAGTGAGAACTGAATAAGTTACAGGTCAGGCACCCAGTGACAGGTTTCCAGGAAATCTCCAGTTTGCAATGTATCCTACTTGTTTTTTTTTGTATTTTTTTTGTCTTTTTCCTTTTTATCGGTACCGGGGATTGAACTCACGACTGCCTGCTTGCAAGGCAGGTGCTTATGCTGCTGAGCTAAATCTCCAGCCCCTATCCTACTTGTTTTTATTAGTACAATTAGACAGTATTCAAGGGACATATTAGTTCACGTTTGTTAACAGGTTTGGAGATCAACCACCAGATCATTCTTACACATTTGTTTTGTGGACAGAATGAAGAAGAATCTGTCCTGTCCTACTTGCTAATATTGGCTCTCTGTTCACCAGCTTCTCACTGTCACACACAATGTTCACCTTGCTCTCCACAGGTGCTCTGAGTAAACTCAGGACGGGCAAAGGATATCCATCAGGACACATCATTGTCCTAATGTCGAAGGTCTCCGCAGTAGCATAATCTGGCCCTCCCCACGGTGGGCTGAGGAAGACAACATCAGCCTTCAAAGTGGGAGCCAGCTGCAGGAAATCTCCACAGATGAACTCTATCTTATCTGCTATCCCATAAACTTCTGCATTATTTCGAGCAAGATCAATCTTAACAGGGTCGATATCAATGGCAATCACTAAAAATGAGAGAAGAAAGCAAGTCAGCTGATCGCCACTATTAGTTATATGGAGGAGTGCATTTGCACACTAGCCTGCCTGTCTTCTGTAAGAGAACCTTTTTAAAGACTAGGAAACATCTGGTTACTACACCAGAGACTTTAAATTTTCAGTGGCTAAGAAACCATCACTGAAGTAACTGGTTTCGGTTTTCTCACTCAGCCAGCTTCACCTAAGTCAGGGACAGCTGCTGCCTTCAAGCATCTGCGAGCCAACTATGAGCCCAGCCTTTGCTGTGCTGGGTACAGCCTGAGCAGCAGATCTTACAAAGCCTCTGCCAACATGGAAAGCCTCTTGCTACGTTTCAGAAAATGCACATTTTTGTGAAATAAAACCATGCCTAAGTGAAGGCAAATTTAGGAACTTCTACAGAAAACCAAAACAAAATGTATTTTTACAAATCTATATAGCAAGGTTATAAACAAGAAATGCAAATACAACTGTTGATGTTTACTGACACATTTTTAGGTAGAGGGAACAGACAATATCGTGTTTGCCCTGATGGGCTTTCATTTAATCAATTGCACTTTCATAATTAGCACTACAAACATTAGTTAATTAGTTCTCTCATATCTACTATAAATTATTCCAATATGCCTATAGGTACACAAGTGTGTGATGGCAGTATTCTACACACGCAAGGGCTCAATGTAACACAGCATGGTTTCCATGGAAATGTGGTTATTTTTCAGAAAACGCTAGCTTCAAAATTTGTTATCGTTTGAGAAATAACATACTGAGTCACTTGAGTAATGAACAGGAGCACCAGTCATACACTATGAAACCAGGCATTTACAATGCTATTTTTGCACTGTGAATCAACTAGTATTCACATTTATGAGAAAGGATTTTTTTTCAGTTCCTTCGCCTACTTTTACAGTCCAGAAATGGATGAAAAAAATACGCTGACAACACTGAAAGTTCAAAAGAAAAAGTTATTCAATGTCACACCTACTCAGGTTTTTCTATGTTCTTCTATATTACTTTTGGAGGCTTTCATTTTTAGACCTAAAAGCATGTAAGCACTTATTATCATCTACATCCAGATGTTCCTCACCAAAGTGTCAAACTCAAAGGTAGGGTTTTTGGAATGTGCTTGGACTATAGGGGTTTTTATGACTGGCTGCTAGGAGGTGGAGTCTGCTTAGAGGCAGGTCCTTGGGGGTGGGGAGTGGCCTGGTGGGGTCCCATCCTTGGGGGTGGGGTGTGGCCTGGTGGGGTCCATCTCTGGGGGAGAGGTGTGAACTGGTGGGGTCTATCCTTGCGGGTGAGGTGTGACCTGGTGGGGGTCCATCCTTGGGGGTGGGGTGTGACCTGGTGGGGTCCATCTCTCGCCCCGGTTCTCCCTCTGCTCTGCTTCACTGTCACGCTGCTCTGAACCTCTCCACCCCATACCTCTATCTTGCTTCTGTGCCATATATTTATGGCCTGAAACTACTATAAACTATGAGTCAAAACTAAATTCTTCCTTTTTTAAGCTGGGGGTGTCAGGTGTTGTGTCTGTGTTGAGGAAAGTGACCAAGTCAATACTCTGTATATGAATGAGATGCTAACAAATGTCTGATGATACTGTATGAACTGTGCTGTCCAAAAATGGTAGCTACTAGCCACGTGACTATTACCTTCAAATCGATTAAATGTAATAATACTAAAAAGAATTTAGGTCCTCATTGATGCTGTTAGATTTCAAATGCTCAGGATCCGCTTGTGCCCAGTGGCTGCCATATACAACAGCAGAGGTGAAGAGCACTCCCATCACCCCGGGAAGTTCTACCTGAAGCACTAATCTCAAGCTACTGTAATACACTAAAGATGAAATAATATCTTTAACAGCTAACTGACAAATCATTGGACAACAACTGAGTAGAAACAAATCTGACACAAAGGAATAAAAGTCATTTGCTTGTGTGCTTACGTGAACATATGCACACATACACTATGGCAGAAAATTCAAACAGTTAAGTGTGACCATGTGCATGCATGTATACATATATGCAAAAGGGCAGTTACTCTGTAACTGCTCTGAAATTCCCTGTCATAATGTACTCCGACCGACTACTGCAGAGGGACTTGAGGAGAGTATCTAACTAACGCTCCTAGACCACTATTAGCAACCATTTCTGGTTTGCGGAGACCACCATGCTCAACATGCTGGAGGACTTCCCAGCTTCCAGGATCACAGAAGTCAGGTCATGAAAGTACTGGGAAGGCCCAGTGTTGGCAGCCTGCCTCCTTCTCTTCTCAGAGGCGGGCAATCTGTAAGATGGAGGCTACATGACACTTGAGCTATGAAGAGAGCTGGCCTGTGAGGACACAAAAGCAGTCTCCTGTTAGCTTGGGACCTACATTGGGTGTCTTCCTCTGCCAAATGGGCACTAAGCTATACAAAGCCTTGCCAATAGATTTTACTTACTAAAGAGCAAGTATATACTCTTTAATTGTTTTTATGTTGAAGACAATTTGCAGATGCATTTGTTGCCTCATTAAGGGGCATATATTTTAACCACTGTGTTATGATACAAAGCTAAAACAAATGCTACTTTTACAACTTGAGGAAAAATTATTTTCTTGCAATGTATACTGATTTGAGTGTGTAAGAATGGCTTATCTGGCAAAGTCTGAAAAGAAATTTGAGAATACATAGTGAATCCAGGGGAAACAAGAAAATTATTACTATGGTAAGTAAGAAAAACAACTTTTATCTAGGCTGATAGGAGACCATACGTAGTTAATAAATAGCATGCCTGGAGCAAAGGAGTAATTTTATCAGCACTGGTCTAAAACTAAATGGTAAGAATTCATTTTTTAAGTTGCATACTGTAATTTTCAGAATCATGTTTTCCTAGCTAATATTATAATTTTATATAAATTACTGAGATTCTGCTAAAATGTGCTGAAACAGGTATGATTACTGATTCATATGTAAACTATGAAGATACTGAAAAACATAAGCATCTTCAGAGTATTACTTGACAGTGTATGTACTTAAAAATGCCAAAGACACTGTCAGAAAAACCTGAGTAGAAACTGAGCTTTGGCTTCAAGACTCAGGTATGTCACTTTGGGCAGAATGTTTCATTTCTGTAGTCTTTTTTTCCTGGAAAAAGCACATTACTTATTTGACATTGGTAGATATGCAGTAATGGAGGTTTTCTTTCTCCTAATTCCAAAGTTAAACAATAACAAGGATGGGATTTAAAGGATTTTTAGATTCTTAGTATACTGTGTGAAGAAAGGTATCATAGGGCTATTTCAAATCAATGTTTCTTTTAAATTAAAGTTAAATGATGGACAAAATCATAAAGATAGTAACAATGTTGGGATTCCTTGTCCAGAGTTTTTTTTCTTCCAAAGAACAATTTTAGTGTTTTTGGTTTTACACAATGTTATGATCCTGGTTCCAGTAGTGAGTAGGTGTGTCAGTATAATCTTGTATAAGTTATATCTAATCTCTTAATATTTCAATCTATTTATGAAAAGCAGATGGTAAAAGACAAAGTTCCTAACACTGATGAATAAATATATGAATACATATTAAGTCCTTGCACCAGTATGTGATACAAACTGCGTAATACATATGCTACTATTTCAAACATTTAGTATGAAATTATTAATTATATAATCTCGGCAAAGACAGACTCAAATAAAACTACATATTTACTGAACTGGAACTGGAAATAAAGTTTTGCTCTGCTGATGGCTGTTACCTCTTTTTCCTGTTAAGGCAAACTGAATGGTATTTCCTCCGACTCCACAGAACGCGTCCACCACGATGTCACACTTGAAACACTGACTGACGCGACCAGCAATGTGCTCAGCAATCTTTTCAGGTGTGACCGAAAACCAGCCCTCTGCAAAGGAAGAGCATTTGTGAAGGTATTTAATGTCAAGAAATCAAGTCACACATGTTAATAGCACATATTACTATACTATTACATACTTACAAAAGCTGTTTTCCTTTTTTCAAAGTTATAAAATTATCTAGTTTTAGTTTTATTTTTGGTATTGGGAATTGAACTCAGGACCTTGCGCTTGCCAGACAGGTGCTTATGCCACTGAGCTCTATCCCTGGCCCAAAATTACCTAGTTTTGAAGAAAAGTTCTGCATTCCCATTTCTAATGTCTATATAAGTACGCATTCCAATTTTAATATAATTCTTCGTAACATCCCCTCATCTTTCCAGTAATTACCTGCAGGACTGGCTTTTCTGTCCGAGATACTGACCTCTGCTTCTCTATAAGGAAAAGGGAATGTCGGCTTTTCTAGCTGGCTAGCTCCCTCGGTTCCAAGTTCCTCAATTACTTCATTCCTAATGGAAAGCAATGACCTAGATTTGTACTGGACACTGGGGAAAATCTGCGTGTTTTTAAAGGCCAGGACAAGCAAGGACTGATAGAAAACGGCTGTAGAACTCCAGGAGGGGAGGCAGAGCAGCCCCCTCACCATTACCAGGGATGGGGGCCTGGGACCACAGAAGAGAGCAGACAGTGCTCTCCTTTCTCAGTAGAAAAAAAATCAGTGTTTTCCAGGAAAGACAGCTCTCTGAACAAATTGTGTGCCAATTTCCGCTTTCTCATTCCTTTCTAAAACTTTAAATTGCTCCTTATTAATGGAAGAGCAAGAGTATCCACTCATACACAATTTCAAGTTTTTCCCTCGTCTTACTTCTCTTAATAAACTCCCATGTGCTTCCCTCAATACACAGAAGTTTGTAAATTATTACAAGAGGTTCAGAGAATCCCTGAAATTCTATCAAGGATCAAAATCTCCTGAGTAGCCCTAATGAGAAAATGAGCACCAGCCTGTACCTAAGATGTTCAAGATCAGAAATGCCCACATTTTTTAGTGTTAAATTACAACTTTTCACATTAGGTATTTCTTCACCAGATGCTCTTTTTGATAATCTATCAATTATTTTTGCTATGTATCCTGAAATGCTACAAATACAGATTAAATCTATCTGAAAGTTTTATAAGTACATATATATCCAAAATGAGGGCCAGGGATACAGTTCAGTGGCACAACGCTTGTCTGAGAAGTATGAGGTCATGAGTTCAATTCTTGGCACCAAAAAAAAAAAAAAAAAAAAACAAACCCACAAAAAACTTTCAAAATGAGAGACAGTCTAGATAAAATGATTGGCCACTATCTCTCTGAAAAATGTCAAAGTAGGGCTGGGGGTGTAGTTCAGTGGTAAGGTGCTTCATTTGGTAAGGCTAAAGTCCTAGGTCTCCAGCACGGGAACAGCAACAAAAACAACACCTGAAAACAACCCATCATTGCAGATTAAAGAAAACTAAATCAACAAGAAAACTGAGTGTAACACATGATCCTATACTGGAAGAAAAAGATTATTTTCTTCCCATTTCACGGTATCTACTATACATTTTGGATGTTATTTACTCATTCATTTTCTCCTACCAGGGAGATAATACAGTGTTTCCACATGTGATCTGATTTATTTCACTTAGGACTATGATCTCTAGGTGCATCCATTTACCTTTAAGTCTCCAGTTCACCCTTCTTTATGGCTGAGTAGTTCTCCATTGTATTAACAGACTATATTTTGTTGATCCATTTCTCAGTTGCTGAGGTGTTTCCAAGGTCATCTGTGTTACAAATTGTGCTGCTATAAACTTGGGTGCACATGTATCACTGTGGTGTGATGTTTTCAATTCTGCGAAAATACTCAGAAGGGGAACAACTAAGTTGAGTGGCACCTCTAACTATAGATTTTTAGGTATCTCCACACCGATTTCCAGTGGTTGCACCAGTCCATACCTCCACTAACATGGAGAAGGGTTCCTTTCCCCTCAGTCCTGCCAGGATTTGTTATTGGTTGATTTGATGATAGCCATGCTTTCTGGAGTGAGATGAAATCTCAGCATTGTTTTAATTTGCATTTCTTGGATGACGAGTGATGTTGAACATTTTTACATATATTTATTTGCTGTTTGTACTTCTTCACCTGAGAATTGTGTATTCATCTCAGATGCCCATTGTTGGCTAGAGTCTTTAAATTTGGGAGGATTGATTTTTTTGAGTTCTTAATGTTCTTGATAGTAATCCTTTGTCTGAGGAACATTGGTTAACGTTTTCTCCCATGCTGTGGATTGTCTCTTCACTCTGAGGGTTTCTCTTGCAGTGCAAAAGCTTTATAATGAGGTCCCAGTTGTTGGTTCTTTGAAGTATTCCCTGTGCAGTCTGGGTTTTGTTCATAAACTCTTTACCTACACTTGTCTTCAAGATTTCTACCTTCTTCCTCTTCCAGTAGACCTAGTGTTTCTGTTTTAATATTTAGAACCTTGATCCATTTTGACTTCAGCTTGGTACATGGTGATATAGACATGAGTCTAGTTTCAATCTTTGGCATACAGAGAGCCAGTTTTTCCAACATCACTTATTAAAGAGGCAACCTTTCTTCTGGTTAACATGTTTGGCATCTTTGTAAAGCAAGATAATGTGGTTGAGTGTGTTTGTAGCTGCATCTCTATCTTCTAGTTTGCTTTGCTGGTCCTCAGGTCTGGTTTTTTTGCAACTATTATGTTGATTTTTTTGGGGGGGGGAGAGTACCCAACCGGGTTATTATGTTGATTTTATCACTATAGCTTTGTAGTATAATTTCAAGTCAGGGATTATAAAACTCCTGTCTTGTCTTTGTTGCCTAGGACTGCCTTTGCTATTTTAGGTCCCTTCTGGTTACATACGAATTTTAGAAATGTTTTTTTCTAGATCTGTGAGTTAAACTAGTAGCATTTTGATTGAGACTGCATTAAATCTGTGTAACAATTTTGGCAGTAGGGTCATTTTTGCTATGTGGGTTCTTCCTGTTCAAAGCAGGTGATAACTTCCATTTTCTGACATCCTTTTCAATCTTCTTTTGCAGAACACTGTAGTTTTCAATGTAGAGATCTTTTATTCTTTTGTTAGATTGATTCCTAAGTATTCCATTGTTTTGCAAGCTATTGTAAAGGGTGTAGTTTCCCTAATTTCCTTCTCTGTGAGTCTGTAGCTTATGTATAGAAATGCTATGATTTTTGAGTTTTGAGTTTGCATCCAGTCACACTGCTAAATATGGTTATTAAATTCAGTAGTCTTTTGGTGGAGCTTCTGAGGTCTTCTGTGCAAAGTATCATATCATCTGTGAATAATGATAATCTAACTTCTTCCTTTTCTATCCTTATTCCTTTTATTTCTCTCTAGTGTAGTTGTTCTGTCTAATGTTTCCAGAACTGTACAGAATAGCAGGAGTGGTGACAGTAGACATCCAGGTCTTGTTCCTGAACTTTAAAGTGAAAGGTTAAGTTTTTGTCCATTTGGTGTGATGCTGGCTGTTGGTTTGTCATAGATGGCTTTTATTAGTCTGAGATAACAACCATCTGTTCTGATTTTCTTTTCTTTTTTTTTTTTTAAATCAGTACCGGGGATCCAATTCATGACCACACGTTTGCAAGGCAGGCACTTAGGCCACTGAGCTGTTCTGATTTTCTATAGTTTTTATCATGAGTGTTAGACTTGTCAAATGCTTTTTCTGCACTTTGAAATCATCATGTGATTGTCTTTGACTCTGTTGATATGCTGCATTACACTTACTGATTTGCATATATCGAACTATCCCGACACTGCCGGTATCTTGCATCTATGTTCAGTAGGGAGACTGGCCTGTAGTTCTCATTTTTGGTTGGGTCCTTTTCTGGTTTGGGTATCAGAGTGACACTTACCACCAGAAATGAGTTAGGGAGGACTACTTCCCTTTCCAGTTCACTAAAGAGTTTAAGGAATACTGGTAGTAAATCTTCTCTAAATTTCTTGTAGAATTCAGCACTGAATCCATCAGGACCTGGCTTTTTTTTTGTTGGTTAAGTTTTTAATTACATTTTCAATTTCATTGACTGTTACTGGGTTATTCTGAATAACCCATCTTCTTGATTCAGCTTTCGTAATTTATATATAATCTAGGAATCTATCCATTTTTTCTGTGTTTCCTATTCTATGAGTCTAAAGATTTTCAAAGTATGAATTAATGATTTTCTGAATTTTCACAGGGTATGTAGTGATTTCACCATAAGGATAAAAATCCTTTAAAAGACATCACAGGAAGCAGGGTGAGATGATGCATGTCTATAACCCCAGCACTTGTGAGGCTGAGGCAGAAAGATAGCTATGTTTTTGAGGCCAGTCTGAAATACACAGTGGGACTCTGTCTCAAATAACCAATGTAGGGAAAGAAACTAAAGAAGAAGCAAATGGACAGACACGACAGGACAAATGAACAATGATTTGGACTGTAGAAGGAACTTCTGTTACATAAACACTTGTTCACTTGTTCTTAGCACTTGTATACACTTGTTCGCTTGTTCTTAGCAAATACATGCTAACGTGTTAATGCACAGTGGTATGGTGTGTCTAGCTGAGTCAAAAAAGAGACTACAGTAAAATGCTGAAAACAGACAAATCTACTTAAAAGTGCTTTTTTTTGTCTTTTTGAGACACAGTCTCACCATGCAGTTCAGGCTGGCCTTGGGCTCACTTTGTAGCCCAGGATGGTTTTGAACTTGCAATGAGCCTTCTGCCTCAGCCTCCTGAGTGCTGGGATTACAGATGTGCGCCACCACGCTCAGCTCATAGAAGGTTTTAAAATACAATTAAGAAGCACACATACACCTTACCTCTATCTAACTTAATCCCATCATCAAATCGGGAAAACAGCCTGTATCTCTGGGCCCAGTATTTCATCAGCTCAGGAACGGCAGCTATTTCAGGAGGTATGCTACATATCTTTCTGTTCTTATTTTTTTTCTTTTTCTTCTTTTTAATTTCAGCTAAAATAAAATACAAAGAATACAAATGTTCACTATTAAAAAAGGAAATCACGGTAAACTTTTAGATAAAGTGCAGCCATATCAAATAACTACCCTTTCAGACAACATCCCAGAGCGCGTATGTAACAGCACACCCAGAGACAAGGAGACAGTGACCAGAACTCCGGTGGCTTTGTGCTGCTGCCTCCATTGTGCTACTTACTGACTTTGAAATTAGAAAAGTGACCCAGGTTCTATAGACACCAATTCTTTATACTTACAAAAACAATTAGTAAACTGCAGTTTACTAATTTCATTTACAGTACTGACAAAGATACAGACTGAGCATCCCAAACCTGAAATTCTGAAGTTCTCCAAATCTAAAAATTCTGATTTGACACGATACCACAAATGGAAAATCCACATCTGACCTCATCTGACCAGTTGCAACCAAAACTCAGAGGCACTAAAAATATAGTATGAAATTATCATCAGCTTACGTGTACATGGTACAATGCAATACAAATGAATTTTGTGTTAGGATTTCAGCCATATCCCCAAAATATTTTCACATTTATATGCAAACATTCTAAAATCTGAAATTCATTTGGTCCCAAGCATTTCAGATAAGCTGTGGAGACAAATACCAACATAGGTATAAAAGTTACTGTTTCTGTTGGTCACAATACTGGTTTAGTTGGTGAATTTTTAAATGTAAATGTTTCTCACTTCTTTTAAAACAGAACCGTGCAAGGAATGATTAAGCTCAAGCCCTGGCCACATTAACAATTCACAAAGGAGTTGTAATTCGGATGTCTTGCTGCTGGTGGCTCTGATTTGAATTTGGTATTTCCATCTGGCTTGAACCACTGCATGACTTCCTTTGGGTGGCTGGTACTACTTCTTAGGGGGTCTTCAATTGCAATAATATAAAGAAAGATGATGATTCAGCAGACCAGCTATCACTGTATTATAGTTCCTTAAGGAAAACATTAAAATGGTATAAAATGACTGTAGTACAGGTTGGTTCAGCAGCTGTAAACACTATATTTTATATAACAACCGAGGGGTGTACACTTTTAAGATTTCCATGTTAAGATTTAGAGAATTAATTATTGATAAACTTCACAAATATATATTTCTTTTAATTTAATGAAATAAAATTGATTACTGTAATTTTTTATTGGTATGCATAGTATTAATATTCATATTTAGATAATTATTAAAATTCAAGCAATGACTAGACTTAGTTCATTTATAGACTTTTTGAGTTTTTTTTAAAAAGATCAAGAAAGTAATTAGATCCATTTGGACCACCAGTGGTTCAAGCTGCTGGATGGGACAGCCATGCATGTACCACTGGTGGTTCGGCTGGCAGGAAAATGTTAATCTGAGAAGACATACAGCATCTGAAAAAATGAAACATAGGTCATTAATTCCAATCCACAGAAAAGGATCTCAATCATTCACAGACTAAATGATTCTTTTCTTAGATAACTGACTACTAGTTTTGATTATCTGGCTTCAGTTCTAAGCTGATTTAGCAACACAGAAAGATGAGTGTTATTACAGGTAAGAATAAAAATAAGACATCTTAATTGACACAGAATAAAGGCACATTTCATTTATACAGTCTTCAGGGATAAGACTGTCTTACATGGTTACTAGATCACGGCAAACAGAAAAGCCACCAAGAGCAAATTGTGGTGTTTTTCAACAGAGGCAATGATGATAATTTTGGGTGACAATGACAATTCTTCATTATATGAGACTATCTCATATATAATCTAATGTCAAGTAACCCAATTACTAAATGTCAGAATTCCTCAGATTATTTTGAAAATCAATATCATCCAAGTAAAAATTACTAGCATTACAGTAACTGTTCCTGGAAGTATGAGACTTAGGAATCAGAGAATGTGGTAGAGTTCCAGTTACACTACTTTCTTTGGCCACTTTTTAATTTCTTTGAGCTACTTTCTGTACTTGTAGAATGGAGAACAAACACCTATCCACTGGGCTACACTGCAGATTAAATAAGAATGAGGTACCAGAAGACATTTCAGAAATCTGCAAGTGTTATTCACATGAACATCAGTTGTTGTAACACTGATTAAGAAAGGAAAAGAATAAACAAAAACCCTACCCCAACTATGGTGTTAAGGGGAAGAAATGTGGTATGAAGACTATAGATATATATTCACATCTGCAGAAAGAAAAAAGAAGCAAGACTCAAGTAAGGTATTTCCTTCAACGTTGTATTAAGAAGGAAATGATGAAGGATCCTAACAGGTACAGTTGTTGCATCCAGACAAGACTGAAATAGTGCATCAATAACCTGAATGTGAGAGCAAATGAAAATGTTTAAAGAAAGCATTTCTATATTCCACTGGATACAATTATTATTTGGAATCATCAAGGAATTTTTGTTATTTGTTTTTCCATTTATTAGTGCCAACGACTGTGAATACTTTAAATCAATGTATCATGAAAACCACTACCATCACCAACAACAAACAAGTGAAGTACCTACAAAAACAAAGCCTGTGCTACACCAAATTTCAAGGACAGGCTACCTCTAGCTCAGGGGAACAGGGAGGTGGCAGTGAGCTCAAATGCAATCCCCCCCCCCCCCCCCCGCTATGCTTTGCTGAGCTCAGACAGTGCTGGGAGTGGCCCGTCACGGCCAACAACACAATTACTGCCTTTTCCCCACTTAAAATACGACAGTGTAAATCCTAAGCTACAGGTGACTCAGAAATGAGAACTAAGAAAATATAAATGAAAGAGAAAGCACACATCGAAACCCACTGGAAGCTGAAGCCGATTTCTCTTACCTTTAGCTTCTACCTGGGGAAAGTCTGGGGTTTCCTGAGCAGCACAGTCCTGCTTCTCTGGAACAGCTGCTACTGGGCTGTCCTGTTCACTCTTTTCTGTTTCCGGCTCACTGGCTGAAGAGCTGGCCTGACACTTCACGGCTTCTGGACTTCTGCTTTCCATTAGGTCGTCAGGCTTCGTAACAGATGTGTCCTGTTTCTCTGAATCGCTGCTGGAGCAACTGTCCTGTATACCGTTGTGAGGAAACAACTCCTGTGAGGCTTCCTCCTCCGCTGGTTCACTAATCCATTTTAGAAATTTCTCTACCTGAAATTTTAAAACATCATGGTCATGAATTAATTTTAAACTAACAAGAATCTTCCCTGCCTTCTAGCACTTGTGACTAGACTGACAAGCTGTCATAATTACTACTTCTGAGAAGTATACTGCATCACACAAGCTAATAAATAATTCCAGGCTAATTGGAATTTATCTGGGCACCCCATGACCTTATTAAAGAACTTTTCAAAAATAAAGTGTCAGATTAAACACTTCCTGCTATAAATTAACACTAAGAGGTAAAGCCAAACTGCACCAGTAGCTTTCCATAAAGACTCCTAACAATGTAACTGCTTCCTGATATTATAAATGATATCTACTATCACTGAACAACAATATCTACTTAAGTCATTATTTTCAGTTTTCCAATTTCAACTTACAAAGCTTTCTGCAATGGTCTACATAATATCAAGGATGAACTGTAAAAGACTTAGTGCCGATTTGTCTTTAGAAGTAAAAGCAGTGTTATCCTGGAAAGAATGAATGCTGCCTTTATCAGCAGCAGAGTCAGGGAGAGGAGCCCTAAAAGCTATGTAAGTTTATTTGTTGAAATGTTAACAAGGCCCAAGGTCAGAAGGCAAGACTTCCTTGTGTCTTCCAAAACAAGAGCGTTCTTCATACTAGGTCTTCATGACCTTCGTGAGAGTTAATAAATTAAAACAACAGTGTAGATACACAACAGGTAGCAACCTAGAGCACTGACAGTGAACATTTTAGAGATGAGGCCCAAATTGTAACCCCCAAATCCACTTATTTACCACAAAGTGCTCATATTGCAATTAAACCTGAATACTGAGGTTTTAGTTAAAAGAGAAAAATCTCCTATATTCACATCTTCTATCTTTAAAGAAAAATAAATACAAGAGTTGTGCCACAGGTTCATCCCCTCTGACGCAGACCGGTGCTGTGAGGTAACTCAGATCTACTGAGGGAATCTACTCCTGTTTCAGGCTCTCCTGAAGTGCCCACAGCTAACCAGAGCTCTAGGGACGCGGCAGCACTGCCTCCCTTCTCCCTGACAGGTGACTGGATGCATCTAAACTACTGCATCTAAAGCATCAAGAAAAGCCCTACAGTAGGGCCGGCTAGGAGGTCCTTTTCAGATACAGCTACGACCACTACACGCTCATGAAAATGTAAGCAGCAACTGGCCAACCTGAAACATAATAAAAAACAAAACCAGCTACCCTTTTTAATAAATTTTACAATCATGCTGAAATCAAGCAGGAAAATGTAATCTGAGAGCAAAACAAAAGTCATCTCAGACTGTGAGATTAGTTTTTATGCCCCATAGAACTGTTGGTGATATGACTGATACCAGGGTTCTACTCATGAGAAGGTGCTTTTTTTGTTTGTTGTTTGGTACCAGGAATCAAACTCATGACCTAGCGCTTGCCAGGTAGGCACTGTGCCATTGAGCTATGTCCCTGACAAGAAGGTGCTTTCTTAAAAATATTTTGTTTTTATTAGGACATGTTTGAAGTACATAATGTTCACATTCCTTGTGGGGAGTTGGTACATGCACATAATTACTTTTTTCATCCCTTCTTTCCTTCTCTCCACCCATGTCTTGATCTCTTTCCTTTCCTTTGTTTTTTTTCCTTAAAGTGCTTTTTGCCCTACAAGGCAGAAGGCTAACTTATCAAACGAAACAATATTCTTATCACTTTCGCTTTTCAACTATCTGGATGGCAGGCATAGCAAAGTTGGAGACAGAAGATACAATTATAATGCGTGTCAGTAAACTAGTCTTGTATTTCACGCTATAGGAATGAGCTCTTAATTAAGCTTATAGTAAAGACCTATCAGATTTAGATGATAAGGATGCTACTTAGGCTGAAACAGGCAAGAAGTTCTCTTCCTGGCCTGCTACTGTGCAGGTGAGGCGACCTGACTTACTCATCTTCCTCGATACCATTGCTTTAGCTTTCAAACACCCCCTTTTCACATTGCCTCCTAAAATCTAGTTTACACACAATGTATGCCTTCAGGAAGCAAGTGGAAAAGAATTCCAGGCACCCTTAAACCTTGTAGAAACAAGCTTCCTATTTGAGCACAATACTTTAAATAATCACGCTCACAAAATATGATCCTCTCATAGTAGTAAAAAACACAATTCACACATACCTTACTCAGAGCCTTGCTGCTCTTGAAAACTGGTTTTTCTGATTCTTCAGTAAAGAAGATGTGTTTGTTTTTCAGCTTTATTTGTCTGCGCATGTCCAGATATTTTGATTTACGTTTCACATTCTTCTCTAGATACCTGACCTGGCGATGGCTGAAATTTTGGATTCCACCATATCTGTGACCAGATCAAAAGTGATTCATACTTTAAAATTCTAGGAGGATGTTTTGTAATAGGGAAAAGAGAGGAATGCTAACAATTTTCACTAGTTTTTTGCTATAAGTAGCCACCATTTCAATTTTTAAAAATTTGGAAATCACTGAAGTACAAATTGCAGAAGAGTTTACAGTCTTTTTATGTAAATTTTACAATAAATATGAAACATCAAAGATAGAAATTACATTTCTAAAGCACGGAAGTAGAACTATAAATAGTGGATTGCAATAAAGAAACAACAAACAAACAAAAGAAACAAACAAAAATAATCTCCTTATTAGGAAAAATTTTCTCTAGAGCCAAAGCTCTTATTAGAACATGCTCAAATTACCGTAAGTGGAGAATTTTAACCTAGATTAATGTGAATTTACAAGACACAAGTCCCTGTTAATAAAGTGATAAAAGCACACTTAATCTAATGAGCTGATTTTCCCAGTCCTACTATTTCTTTGCTATGAAGTATTCTTTGACTATATCAAGACTCACTTAACTCCTTTTAATCATATTAGAAACTTCTTTACATTAAAAAGTAATCTTATCCTTACAAATAGAATTGAGTACTCTAAGTAGGAAAACAGTTAAAATTAAATCTCAGGTAACAAAACAGGAATCTTAAGAACGTTTACTGCCAAGAATCACACAGCTGTTTCTCGAATAAGATTACATGTGCATAGCAGTACATTCTGTGACAAATTAAAACTTTACATTGCTAAACTTTATGATTTTAGCCTTAAATATTATATGAACTACAAAATCTTGAAATATTTCAAGGAGACAACTTCAGAAACTATTTATGGTATCATGATCATCAGCATACACTTTTGAGCGTACTAATTTGGAGTCAATTTATACATCAATTGTGAGACAGTCCCCATGCCCTTTTCCTGCTAACTCTGAAATGTGTAGATAGCTACTTAAATTTCATAACATATAAAAAAGGTAAGCAGGATATGAAATTTCAACACTCAGAACTATGAAAGAGTAGTAACGGTATAGGCCACTGATGTAAACTGACATAAACCGCATTCCTTCAGCTGGTGAGGTGTGCATCTGTAATCCCAGCACCTGGGAAGCTGGGCTGGAGGAGTGGAAGTTCCAGGCCAGTCTGGGATACACAGGGGATGTATTGACTGGGATACCTTGACTTAAAAAGCAAAGCTAACCAACCAATCAACCAAAAAGTATGCCTTTTTCTACCCAGTTCAACTTCTTTATTATTTGAGATGAACATGAGATAATATTGCCAGTTGTTCTTACATAATTACTTATGCATTCATATTTCTTTTACGTTTAATGTGTATTTCCTTATATTTAATGCTTGGGCATTTAACTCCAGAAGAAACTTAGCTGTCTGTTAACAAATGTGCACAGCAGCTGTCTGTAATAGTAAAATACTGGAAACATTCCAAATACCCTTCAATAGGTAGGTGACTGAAAAAATTCTGATACATTCACATAATGGGGTACTCCTCAGTGATACAAAGGAAAGAATAATGGATGTAATAAGCTGGAATCACTGCAGATCTTAGGAAACAACCCAGATGCTGTTATTAGGATAGTGAATCCAACACAACACCTCCCTGAAAGGCTGGGGAAACACTGTGTGCACCAACAAGGAAAGGCGTTCGTGCTACACTGCTAAGGGTGAAAAGTAAACCACAGGTTAGACACAGTATGATCCCATCTTCATGTTTATAAAGAGGACAGCAATGCATGTACACACTAGTAAATTTGTGAGGATGTATGCCCAACTCTAAAACTTACCTACCTATGGGAATGATGTGAAAGGAAGATTTTCACTTTATTTTTTTATTTGAGCTTTTCTACTTTGGTAACACAGGGAAAAGTTTACTATAGGTCTGAATTCTTCATGCCGTGTCTGCGATGGTTTTTAGATGTACACCAGGGTAGATATAACTAGGTAAAAATCCAGCTTAGAAGTTACAAAGGCTGGGTTTAAATTCATTCTCTGGTAAATGATGGGATCTTGACCAAGTCAAAACATTTATAAGCTGCAGTTGCTTTTATCTATGAAATGGAATAATACCAGATAGCTGTGAAATGCAACTGAATACAGGAACACACGTACAGTGGTATCTCAACTACAATTCTTACTAACAAGAGAAGACAGGGTCTCAACACTGAAATGCTGTCAAATACAAACCACTCATTATCTACATAAATATCCAAGTGGTTAAAACTTCTAAAAGACAACAACTTCTATGAATAATTACTTTTGTCCTGAGCCATGCTTGAATCCCAGAAGGGTACCACTGTCATCAAGGTCTGAATCCATATTTTCATCGACGTCCAGTTCATGGCTAAATAAATTTAACAAAGTAAATAGTGATAAGCCATTACTCCAAAGTCCAAATATCAATAAACAATCAGAGTTCACAAATCTAGGAAGCCAGGAAAAAAAATACTTTAACAGGATTTTCCAAATTACCTAGCAGTGTTTGGAATACAGCATTACTTTTACACCGTGTCAAGTGATTATCTCTATTCCACAATATAATATGCATATATATAGATTACCCAACACCACGTAAAGCTGAGGCCTGAAATCAATTTCCTAGAGTAATATCTCTGGAGGTTCTTCACAAAAACAAATAAGGAGAGATGAAAAGTATCAATCTGACTAAAACATACTTTTTAAAAGAAAAAAATGTCATTATTAAGAATTAAGTTGGGATTGATATACAGAATATTATACAACAAAGGAGAATCCACTTATTGGGTATCTTTTAGAAATTTGACTACCTTGATCATAGCCCCAAGTATATAAAAATGGTGAGAATCTTTACAAAGTTGTTCCTCCACTTAAATTAAGCCCACTGAATACTATTCAGTGCCGAATGGGTCCTAGGAACTAACTATAGAATAAGCAATGTTTCGTACGTAGAGGGATATACTCAAGGTATGTTTTCTGTACTGAAATACTACAGTTACAAAGCTTGTTTACTGTTTTTCTAGAAGTTATGCAGAGCACAAAAATGTTATGCAGATAACCCATTACCTTATCAGAGAAAGAAAAGGTTCAAATTCTTTCCATGTTTTCTACAGCACTAGCATTTGAATATATGATAAACTGACAACTGGTGGGCAGCTTATAACACCCAGCTGGACTGAATCAGTGTGGTGTGACGGGCCCAGCTGAGGACTGGTGTCAACAACATACAAAGGAAAACTGGAGAGGAGGAAGTGGTGCTGTTAGTTCTCCTCAGGAGCTTGTTGTGCTGGCTTTCCTGGTATGAACTTGGTTGGTCTCACTGTTGGAAGAACTTATTGCTGAGAATGGCTTCACTTTGGGGAAACTCTGTCCTTGAGCATCAATCACTTCCTGGCTCCAGAGGGAAAGATGCATGCTGTTGAATCTCTTGGAGTAGCTTGTCACACTAGTTTCCTGATATGAACTTGGCTGTTCTCACCATCGGAGGAGCTTAGGACCTCGCTGTTGCTGAGGATGGCTGTGGCACTTTTCAGAGGAGCTCTGGTCCTTACCCTAAGCATTGCTTCCTGGCTCCACTGCAGGTCCCTCACCCTGCTGTCACAGATCCTTTATTCTGCTGGTGCAGACCTTTAGCTTCCATCACTGACCTTGGGGCCTTTCCAGTGCAGATCCATGAAACAGACTTGCATGAGACACTGTCGTGGGCTCTCGGCCTCCAGGTGGCCTTGTGGGGACATTGCCATGGGCTCCAGGTCTTCAGCTGGACTCAAGTATCCAGGGCCTCAGCTGAATTCTTTGGGTCTCTAGTGTGTAAACAGATTTCTTGCACTCTTTTGTATTTAACTTTGGGTACTATAAAATAATCCTTTAAATTATGTGTCCTGTATTGTTTCCTTGCAAACTCGGACTATAACAGACTACTTTATATTACACCTTCAATGTGTAATGGTATCAGGTAGAAATAACAGTGCCTGGGGAAGTGTTGGTTTGGACTCTAGTTTGATAGCAGCCATTATTACATAGTAACTGAACCAGATATTTATCTTTGCCTCAGTATTCCTATAATAAGAGCCTGAGATTGAGAACTAGTTAAGCAGTAAAAATAGAGGATAACATATACCCAAATGTTAGAGAAAACAATCAGAATTCCAGGGGGGCCATCCACAACTGTTAGATAAGAATTACATTCCACTGAAAGCTACTAAAGGTCAGACATATTGCACCACAGCTCCAGTCTACCCAATGATCTAACACAAAAATAGGCATTCAGTGCATTTTACAGAAAAAAGGTTTAGAAGTGAATTAATGATGTGAATATGGAAGAGCTGGGATTTGATAACAGGTCTAAAAGCTCAGTGTCTTACCAGTATATCCTGCCATTTCTTACAGGGTTAGCAACACGGTAGATAAAACAAAGATTTAACAAGTACTCACTTAACCACACAAACCCTTATGCTAGCACATTTCTAAACAGAAGGAACATATAACTTACCTCCTTTTGAACTTGCTGGGCTTATGCTCCGGTGGATCTTCTTCACTCTCATCTCCATCAGTCTGGTTGGTGTGTGGTTTACCTTTGCTCCTGTTTGCTCCTGAAGAGGCTTGCAACCCTAAAACGTTACAATCGGTTTTGTAGATGTTACAATGGGTTTTCTCTTGCTGTGGCAACTTTTCTGCTACTTACAAACTCACTCCCCTGGACAAGGAACTGTCTGTGTGCAACAAAGTACCAGGTTACATCTACCTGAGTTTCTACATACAAAGTTGGAGAGAAAAAAAAAAAATTGTAGCTATGTTTTTGTAATGTTTAAAAGTTTCTAAAGTCTGACTACTTAATCATGACATGATGTTTTGTTCAATGATAGACTATATATTTACATACTCAATGGTCTTCACTGTTTTAGCTTAAGAACACTCTAATGCTTGCACAGCCGTAAAGTCTAATGATGCATCCCTCACAGCATAAAACCATCATGAAGCCACACAGGAATGTACTTTAAAAATTAATTAAAACTAATGCTTATTAACTATCAAATCTAAAAAAATTAGGTCACAAAGTTACTTTGGAATAGCTTTAAGCAGTTGTAGTCTCAAGAATTTTAATTTACTTGAAGGATTAGAGACAGCATGATCACACTGATTAAAAATAACTTCTTTACATTACAACACAAAATTATTTGTCTTAACAGTCTAAGTAATCAAGATAAGCATTTCCTTTAAAAAATACTTTTAACTGGTGACGGATGTCTAGCTCTGTTCTGTGTTTTTTCAGAATGAAGAGTGGGTAAATGAGACGAGAAGGGAGAATGTGCTCACAGGGTGGACAACAGGAAGCACTCACAAAGGAAACTGGACAGACAGTCACCTGCAAAGGGTAGAAACGTATTTACATAGCAGTGCAAAATGCACCTGACATTTGGATCGCAGTGGAGGCGCCAAAACAAATCAAAACCTAACACCACCCAACTGATCCAGACAGCACACACTGGGTGACTTAACGAGGCGGCCAACCTGTACACTTACCCAAGACACTGGCAACAGAAAGATCAGTCTATGAAGAGGATTATTGTGGTGGGCATAAATTAGGGAAATGAGATAGGAGCCAATGCCTTCTCCAATAACTAAACCTCAAATTTCATCGTTAAAGTAAGTACAGAAATGTATCAGAAATGTATGGAATATCAGAAGACTAATATAAAATGAGCTTTTTAATAAAAGGATAAAATAACCTTTTGCTTCATAACGAGGTTAAAAAGAAAATGTGTACCAGACTTTTTCTAGCACCAAACATCAAGAATGCCAAAATTTTATGAAATTCAAGTCATAAAAATATCCTCCTCTCACATGTCCTGGTACTACTGGTTGATAGAGTCTTCTTAGAGCGTCCTTGTCCCACAGTAACTTTTAACAAACTTTTCATCAGTTACTTGAGTTCTGACCATAGTATCAATTTGTAATACTTTAAAAAAATTTTACTTGGAAGTCAACCAACTCCATATCCCGGGTATTTTACTGATAAGACTCCTGAAATCAATCTATCCAGTTATAAACATCATACCCTAATATTCTTTGAAGAGCAAGATTTCACCTGTCCTGAATGAATTCTGTGGGACTCATGTTTCCCTAGTGTCAAATGTATGCTATTAACCACTGTCTAACTCATCTGCTAGGCAAAACTGCAGAAGCTCTAAGCTTATTCTAAATTAGATCTCAAGAAGTTTGCAAATTTTCCCTCTCTGGCTACCAAGGTACAAGAGGAAAGAAGAGTTTTGAGGACCACATGAAAGTACTGTTATTATTGCAAATAGGTAATAAACCACTTATGATGCCAAAATGACTACAAATAATTGTTTTCACCTTTCACTGCTATGATACGAAGCGTAGCTGGTATTTAACTCCACCATGCAGGACTGGTGGTAAACAGTTAATGAAGTGGTGTTCTAGTAACTGTCACTTAGCAGACGGGCTACCCTCACCTTGGGCTGGGTGGTCTGTGCTCCTAGTCCCGGCTACGTTGCTTTCCTTGGCTCCTCTGTTACATGGCTCGCTCTGGCCAGAAGCAGGGCATACCTTCCCTCTGTTAGCTTCACTCTGCTGCCCGGCACAGCTTACTAAATCTAACCGGCTCTGTTCTACTTCCTCCAAACTCAGAGTTATATTGCTAATTCCATCAAGTATTTCATTGTGATCACTTGGACAAGAAGCTTCTTTGTCAACTGTATCAGGTAAAGGTGGAAAAGACGCTGAGTCCGTTTCTGTGCTATCTTCATTTCTCCTGTCGTCAAGGCCTGTTTTAGCCACACAGGTGTCTGTGTCACAGCTTTGTGAGGCATCGAAAGTCCAGCCCTGTGCTTCCCAGTACTGAAACTGCTCCAGGTAAAACCAGTACAGCTGACTGTAGTGCTGCTCCCACTCCTCCTTCGTGTCAGCGGAGTCCCAAGGTGTAGCACACGGTGTCTGGCCCGCATGCTTCTCCTGCCAGCTCTGCCACAGCAGCCCCGCTCCATACTGCTCCCAGTACTTTTCCCAGACCTCTGTGACCTCCAGTCTCGGGGAGGATGTGTTTTCAACAGGCAGAGGCTCTGCTTCAGTGTGTGCTTTGCTCTGAAGTCCGTGTGTTCTGCTACTCTCACACTGCTCAACTGTGGACGGATCGTCTGAAAGCAAAAGGTCATCGTCTTCATACTCTGTTCTCCAAGACTCCCGCATGATTTCATCTAAGTACTTCTTCTGATGTTTTGTCTTTTTCTTTTTCACTTTAACTTTATTTCTAGTATTCATGGATACCTACATGAGATAAATAGTAACTTGAATATAAAATATACTTCATCATCTATAAAAGGAAACAGAATTTGAGAAAAGTCAAACAAAATACTTTCCAACTCTGACCCTGGGCTTTTTACTATGCAAACAAGTGATTTTTACTAAGTTCCTAGAGGAGGAAGTCACATATGGAACATATTACAATCTGCAGTTCTGGTTAACTTATTAATATGTACATTTACAAAGAGGTCTAGCACTCTGATCATGAATGATTTGACTGGAATAAGAAATTAATTTCTTACACTACTTTATGAAGAAAACCAAGAAACAGAAATAACAAAAGTATATGAACACTTGCCTCAAAATTGTGATGTTCAGATACCCTACCAAACTGAAGTGGCAATCCCATGCTTCTCATGAGTTCAGCCTCAGAATCAAGCTCACTTTCATCCAGGTCTACGCCTTTGTTTTCAACAGACTCTGCAGTGTCACACGAATAGCCATCTTCCTCTTCTATAGCTTGGTCTCCTACAGGGAGCATTTGTTAGCTTAGCCTTAGAAAAAACTTATAGACACTTTACTTACCCTCATTTTAAAGAGGAACCTGAGATCCATAGAAACTACATGACTTGCCTGAAGTCAAGCAAATGTTTCAATTTTTTAGGAAAATAAAAATATCTGATGGTACTATGGACTAACATAAAAACGCTGACAGTCACTGAAGAGCCAAGAAAACAGAATGCTCTAACTCTCCTCTGGCTCTGCCTGCCACTATCAACCCTGCTGCCCGTTTGATTTGCACTTTCAAGCATCTGCTTTGTGCCACGCATTGTGCCAAGTACCGAGGATGGAAGGAAGAGAAGGGTGGCACAACTGTGGGGAAAATGTGTCCATCTTCACATCCTGATCTGCAGAATGAATGAACAAGACTATGAAGTTAAAGTCAGGATTTGTGCAGACACATTAGGGGTGTTAATCAGAAAGGAGAGAAACATGCCTCAGGGCTGCTTATGGACACTTTAGTTCTACTGGGATTTAGATCTTGCAATTCTGTCAAAGAGCTGATTTCTTTCAAGCCTTGCTTCCAGATGTTATAGAAACGGTATTCATTATAAAACAACAAATGTTACTTTACTCTAGTACGACTATGGCTATCTGCTGTCCCCTAGCCTCACGTGTTGAAAGGCAGGCTTTTGGAACATGGGGGCGCTAAAATAATTAGTGTATTAATCCTTTGAGTTCACAGCTGAATGTACCATCAGGAGATGCAGATAGGCTGGAAGACACAAGTCACTGGATGTGTGACCTTTTTCCCTGGCTCATCCAATTTCCCTGTGCCTCCTTGCTGTCTTGGGTAGAGTAACAGTTATTCTCTACCCATGTCCTTCCACAGTGCACTTGGAGCCAGTCAGCTGTGGGCTGACACCTATGAAAATAGTAAGCCCAAATGCATCTTTTTTCCTTCAGCTTGTGGGTGTCAGGTATTGTGGCCCGAGAAAATGACTACCGTATTTCTGACTGTGCCAGACTGTTTCTGGCACAAAATTTCTCTACATTTTGCTCATATCCGGAGACTCTGCCGAAAACTAAGATTAAGAACAGCAGACTAATTAATCTGGTGGAGGAAATGTCAAAGCAGCCCAATATTCAGGTTATGGCATGGTACTTGCTTGCTGCTGTCAATCACATTTATAGTGAGTGTCAGGAGCAAACAGCAGAGTTGAGTAAGTTGAAAAGTTTGCAGTTTCACCAGAAAGAAAGCCTTTACAAAGCTGGGTCAAAAGACAACATGGATGCTGAAAAGATTAGCACTGAAAAGAAGGCAAGCATTGTGCATGAGGACAATGGGAAAAATGCCTTGAAGTTATGTCAGGAAATCAGCAAGACACCACCCTTCTGAGCTCAAGAGTGAAAGCTGTGAAACATTCATTTGAGAAGAGAGCTCCTTGACCACTAGCCCCAAAAGAGCTGCCTAGGAAATTAGTTTCTTGAGTTCACCTATCCAGATAATTGGAGGTCTCAACTGCCATGACCTAAAGGGGCCAGGTCTCAGGTCTGCTTAGCTAGGGTCATCCAAATTGTACTGGTTTTACAGACATGCCAAATGCGAGGGTTACAAGATCATGGAGGCTTTGGCCCAAATTTCAGAAGACGGCAGAGGCCAAGTAAAGTGCCTCTGAAAGGGAAGTATGGGGTGTGAAAGTAAAGCCAGAATGGGCAATGGAGATGCAGGAATGCAGAATGCCTGCTGAGGCAAACAGAAAGCTGTCAGAGTAGAGTACCTCAAAAGATAAGCCATGCAGGCTGTACCTGGTAAGTCCACAGGGTAGAGCTGTCAAGCCCCGAGAAGCTTAACTTGCCCCAGGTCTTAGACACACAAGGGGCTGGGGGTTTAGCTCAGCGGCATAAGCACCTGCCTTGCAAGCAGGCAGTCGTGAGTTCGATCCCCGGTACCGATAAAAAATGAAAAATGAAAAAATGAAAAAGAGAATCTAGTAGACACACAGCTACAGCATTTATGGTTTTCCATGAAAGGTTTGGTCTTGTTTTGGTCCCAGTTCTTTTTTCCTATTTCTCTCTTTTGGAAAGAGAATGTCTCCCCTGTATCACTGTATACTGAAGTATTTAACCTTTTTTTTTATTTTTTATTTTACAGGAACTGACAGCTAAACATTTGCCTTAAGTCTCAGAGACTTGATCTTATAGAAAAGGTATAGCTAAATGAACTTTTCAGCAATGCTGGAACTGTTAGGACTTTGGTGACTCTTAAAAATGAACCAAATGTATTATACATAGACACGTGAATGAGTCTTTTGGGTCCAGGCTAGAATGTTACGATTTATATTTAGACGTCCCCCATGATCTTCATGGACCGATAGGTAGGGCTTCTGGGCAGCAGATTATGGGACACTCACTACAAGTGACTTGTAGTGCTAGGAGGTGGGTTGGCTTGAGATGGTATCTCTCTCCCCAGCTTCTCTCTTCTCCTGACCACCATGATGTAAGCAGTTTTCCTCCATAGGAGGCCCTTCTACTATGCTGTGTCTGCATCTGAGCTTGCCTTCTGAAACTGTGATCCCAAATAAAACTCTCTTTCTTTAAGTGGTGGATATCAGGTATTTCATTTCAGTGAGAAGGAAAGTGACTAAGACACTATCTATTGATAGTTTGAAAAAATGCTATTTAAGTGCTCTATTAGCTGTTCAGAATGTGAGATAACAAAAATTATTTTCTATATTAGCATACTAAATTAGTGGTGAGCTATATTCCAGCTTGATCTCGGGCAACAAGACAGTGAACCCTGCATGGCCAAAATGGAGACTGATAGGAGAAATTGCATGTGTGCAGTTTTACGAAAATAGGGTACTAAAAGAAGTAAAAAGCTAGCTAACTTAAAAAATAATGAAAGCAATTCCATTCATTATTGCTTTCAGTGACTGTATGAAAGGTCAGGAGAAAGCAAAATGGGCTAAATCTGCAGTGTAGGTCTACACTGCAGTGTAGCAGTGTAGGTCTCTTTATATGTTCAGTAGAACTCCAGTGTTGATAGAAGCTCTTCTCAGCACTGCCACCCAACCAAGTGACTGACCGAGAATGTGACCTAAGACACAGTCACTGGTCCATCATCCTTACAGGATTTTCAGAGGTCACTATCAAAGACTAATTGGGCTGACTGTGGCAGGTCTATGTGGAAGGTCAAATGGGCTAAGGAAGTCTGAAAGGGATCAAAGTCAGACTCAATACACAGACTGTATTCTGTTTATGATCTGGGAAGTTAGCAGGATGAAATGGCAACCTGTCTGGCACCTCATGAGCAACGCACCCTGAATCATTTACCTATACGATAAAAGTCCAGTGAAGAAATGACATGTGCTTTACTTTCTCCTTGGAAAGCGGAACTTGAGTTCCAAGCTGCTCTTATCTAATGTGACAAATCAAGGCGGAAAGCACCACAGGGAAAGCAGCACTCTTAATCCATAAAATAAAACATATACTTTGACAGAGATTCAGGGCAGTGGTGGCAAACCTAAGGCACACGCTCTACGGCAGGCTGTTTGTACCATTGAAAGCTCTCAAAGGTTTGCTATCACCGTTCCAAAGTCATGTTTTACATATCTGTAAAATGATTGCCTATGATTACAGAATTTGCATTTATCAAATTTTATCTCAGCAAATTAATACATTATAACAAGTTACAAATATAATATCATGGTTTAACTTTAGTTAAAAAAAAGGGCTATATATATTACCTGTATTGTTGCTATTGCCTCTGACATAGAAGCCTTTCAATCCCAACTTGCACAATTTTCGATCCCTATGAAACAAATTAAACAGCCCACATTGAAATAAATTGGACTACAAAGTTGAGAGAGAAAAAAACATAGATTAGTAATAAAACAGGGTAAGAAACAGAAAAGCAAACTGCTAATGCATTTTCCTTACTTATATTGCAGAGATAACAATACATTACCCCTGCAGTAGTATATATAAAATATTGAGTATAGTTCATAACACATGGGAACATTTATAACTACTACTTCTAGGGAACTCCATGGTAGGATTCCTCCTGGGTACTGAAGGAAGAATTTGATCTTCTTTATGATATACAAACACTGAACTGTTCTCTAAATTTTGCTACAAGAACTGAGCTTAAAACAATAGTAATAAGATTTAGGTTACACACACATAAATCCACATGCAGACCCCAGTCCATTTGCAAACAGGATGAACTTTTCATTGTCTAGTATTCAAGATTCTCATGTCTGAGCAAAGGTCACATCAAAAACTATCGAACAATTTATTTATTACAGCCAATCATAATTAAGACTGCTTTTTAAAAAGAGTTACAATAACTTAAAGTACAATTCTTACGTGCTAAATCTATTTTCTTACCTTTCTGTTTTCTGGAGGGACAATTTATAAAACATAAAGTACTGTGGGTGATGAGTCTCAGCAGGACGGGAGAGAATGAAGTACAGAGTCCTGTGGCAACGAGTTCACTAGCCCCACCCCCGAAATAAAATAGGAGTACCGAGGATGAGGTAAAGTGCAGAAGCTGATAAAATGCCTTATAGAGTCTGGGAACCAGCACCATGCATGGGCTGCCACTGGACTGGAACAGACAGATCCCAGCCTTTCCCAGTGAGTCAGCGCCATTTGCAGACGGGGATAGAGAACAAAGCCACACCAGCAAGCAAACCCAGTCTGGGAACCAGCACCATGTAAAGGCCACTGCCAGACTGTAACAGGCAGATCCCAGCCCCTTCGGGCGCATGGGTGGGAAAACAAGAAGTACCACCCCCCACTGGCTGTGATGACAGCTATGGAGGTAAAATGCAATTGGGTGCCTGTGGTGCTCTGGTGTTTCATTAACATGGCAACTCTAGGGCCAGTGGTCTGATGATAGGCTCAGAGGACAGTGGTACGCAGTGTGACAATCTAGAGGGGATCTCCTTCTGAGGGTGGTGGCCACTGTCTGAGGGTTGTGGCCACCATCTCCTGTGGTCTTGTTTTGGAAGTCCTATATTGCTTCCATTGTTTCGTTGGGTTGGGTTTCATTCTCTTTTGTTTGACTATGTCAAATCTGATGGCCGGAGCAGCTATTTCAAAGATAGTAAGATATATTATAGTGGTAATGGTAGCAAAGTATATTATGGTAGTAATTTTGGATTTACTATAGGCTTACTTTGAAGCCCTTTATTACATTTATTGTTTTGTTTTTACTGTTTTTATTCTATATTGTTCTGTTTGATTTTTACTACATCCAAAGTTATCTGCAGCTATTTTGAAGACATCATAAGGCATTATGGTAACTACTGTTGATTTCATGTTTGGAAGTCCAGTATCTTTTACATTGGTTTGTTGTGATTGGTTTTATTGTTTTATTCTCCTTAAAATAAACAAACAAGCCCCTCCCTCCCCAACAAACAAAAACCGCCTTATAGGTTCTGAGGTGTCAGGTGGAAGAGAGGGTCAATATCGCTGCCAGAGTGATTACAATGAGCAAATAAGCAAATGTTCTGAGGATAATGACAACCGAGATTCTCCTTCATAAAAGTATTGCCTTAAAATATGGCAAGCTCATCTACAAACAAAAAGGCCTGAAAGGATCCCAATCCAGGTGGGGCAATACTGGAAGAACTGTTATAAATCAGGGACACTTACTTATATAGCAGCAGCTATGAAAGTAGTTTTAAGAGTCTTACACATATATACCAGGTAAATATGCACACATGTATACATACTGACGTACACATATAAAATACACATCCACACTGCCTTCTGAGAGGGCTTGTTGTTCCTACAACAAGCAGTGAATATCTACTTTCAGCTTTTAAACATTATTCTCCATTAAAAGAATCAAGGTACGTTGGGTGAATGGTAATTCTACGGACTGTAAAAATAAACCTCGGTCAGCTAGGCATGGTGGCTCACGCCTGTAACCCTAGCAGTCAGGAGGCTGAAGCAAAAGTTCCAGACCAGCCTGGGTTACAAAGTCAGCTCAAGGTTAGCCCGAACTGCATAGCAAAAAGCCACACAGACACACAAACCTGAGTCATCTTGTTAAAAGGCTTGGTGCATTCAAAGAACGCTGGAGATACAACAAAAGGACCAAAAGCCACTTCAAAGGGTACCCCACTGGCAAAACCAAATAATAACAGGAATGACATATAATCCATTAACATAATGAAATGAATAAACAAATACATAGAGGGAAAAGGCAAAAAGGCACCTAGCTAATGCATGCCAAAGGGATGAAAGAAGCACTGTTTTAACAACCTTCGCAGAGGGAGCTGGTTGAGGTACGCGTTGTCAATGAAGGCTAAGGTTTGCAGGACTGCTGCGGAACAGGATGTGTGAAACACGAGTATGCCCTGTGTTAGTTACTTTTCTCGTTGCTGAGACAAAATACCCCAAACCTAAAGTTAAGGGAGGTGTGTGTGTAAACCTCAGTTTGTTGAGGTTTCAGTCCTTAACCTGCTGGTTCCAAGGCCGGGTGGCACATGACAGAGGCAACTGTTGGTGATGGTGGTGAAAGAGAGCGACGGTAACGGCATCTTTCTGTTCCCTTTATCTTATCCAGACTGCCGGGATTAGGGCAGTTCCAAACCAATCAGTGGGTTAATTTAGTTATCACACACCCTTAATACCAGCACCACACATTCTAGATTCAGTCACCTCTGAAGAAGCCCTCTGTCTGCAAGATGCTTTGCGGGGGACATCTAGACACAAACCGTAACACCCCTCCCTTTCAAAAAGTGACTGATGCAAGGGAAACTGACTTTACAGCACTGGGGTTATAGGCATGCATGAGCATCCTAATGTTCACTGCCCAGTGAAGAACTTGGGGGATACCCTCGAGCTTGTATCTATTTCTTTCTCATGTACCTCTTTTGCCCTTTTCATATTGAAAAATGTTGAGCTGACAAGGTAGTTATAGTCCCAGCCCTGAGGGAGGTTAAAGAAGGGGGGTCTCAAGTTCCCAACCAGCCTGGGCAATTCAGCAAGACCCTACTTCAGATTTTAAATAATAAGGAAAAGATCTGGGGATGTAGCTCAGTGGTAGAGTCCCTGGGTTTAATCCTCAGTGCCAAGAGAACAAAAAATTGGAATTCCTCAAGGATAACTTCCCTCACTTCCATTAATGGCTTCCACTACCATCTAAAAGTGAACAACTCAAGTTTTTAAGATTAGCCTAGATTTCTCCAAAATTTCAAACCAGCTGTTATGGTTTGTGGCTAGATATTGCCCCAAAGTCTGGTGGAGGGTCATAGGTGGGGCTTTTCAGAAGTGGCTGGATCTAGAGTGTATGATGCTGGGATTAAGGATGTGTGATTAGTAAATGAGTCCACTGACTGGTTTGGCATTGTTTTGGGTGTGGACAATGGGAAGGCCCATCCAAGGCTCAAAAGCTACCTGCCCTAAGGCATTTGGGGACAGTAAGAGGCCTGGATAGAATATAAAGGACTAGTAGAGTTCCCTGCAGGTGGTACAGAACACAGCAAAAAGAAAGAGCAAGAGACAAAATGGTGGTGCCACAAGGAGCTGGGATGGCCAGCTGCTCCAGGGCAACAAGAGGCCATGAGGCAGCCAGCACCTCAGTATTTACTGATTACATCTGTATCAAAGACAAAGGGTGAAGGATAGTGAGGGTTTCCAGGAGCAGTAATGGTGACCTTGGTGAGCTAGAAAGAACAAGCATTTCTGCAAGACAAGACGAGGGTGATTCGGAAACTGCAGCTTGCCCAGGTGCCCTATCATCCTCCGCAGGTACTGTCCTGCCTAGTGATGCCACACTGTCACTAATGCTAGGGCTTCAGCTATGACTAAAAGAAAAGCAGGCAGAGTCTGTGTTTCAATCTGGCTCAAAGGGCATGACAAGATGAGCTTGGCCATCCACTAGGCTCAATCTATAATCTGTGGTCCCCAACACTGGAAAGAAGGCTGCTGACACTGTTTGTGGCTTTTTCGTTCTTTGCTGCTCTGATTCTCTCTGCAATGCTCCCTCTGTATCATCCTGCCTTGGAGCCAGCCGACTATGAACTGAAACTTCTACAACTGTGAACCAAATAAACTTTTCCTCCTTTAACTGTGGATGTTGGGTATTTTGTCTTGGCCATGAGAGAAGTATCTGGACACCAACATATACCAAATATGTCATCTATCCTTGTGCATCCCATAGGTTCCCCAGAATGAAAATACTGCCTGCAAAATCAAGTTTATGATCTTACTGCTGTCCCAAAATAAAACTCACAATTCAGTGAAAGGCAGCAGTACAAGGCAGAAACCAGAAAATTATCCCTGACCTAGTTACCATCCCACCCTTTAACTTTCCTTTCCACTACCCCCATCTAGTCCCATCTCCAAGGCCAGCAATTTCTCTGTCTTTCTCCCTTTCTACAGTCACCTACCCTAATCCAAGCCACATAATTTCTTGCCTGGACAGCAGACTTCAGCGATTCTCTGTCTCTCTACTGTAAGAATAATGCTAATCTGATCTTTTCACCTACTAGTTTAAGACTGTGTTATACAGATGCTGTTTGATTTATGACGTGGTTATGGCCAGATCTGCATTCTCCCACTCAAATTTACCCTGATCTATTTTCTTAAGGTCCCTCTCTGCAGTTTACTTCCCAAAAGAAACTCAAGATCCCTAAAGAAAGGATGTTACCAAAGTGTCATGTAATTCTCACAACATTTCTAACTGTAATTAATAAAGTTGTTGTGTAATCAGCTATCTTAATATTTATGTTCTTTGCCAGAAAGTCCACTCAATGCATGTGGGCACAGGCTCTGTCTTATACCCAAGTGCTTAAAAACATACAGTACTGGTACGCAGCTCAAAAACTATTCACTGAATAAATTCATGTCTGACTACAAAAGGGTTAATAATCTTTACACTAAATTTAATATGCTGTTTAATTGGGGGGACATTAATTTTTCAGTTTATTCCAAAGTAATGAAAAAGAAGTCTTCAAATTTAAATTCAATTACATTGAAGATCTATCACCTATTTGGTTCTATAAGGATTTTAATCTAATAGAAAACATGTGAGATTAGGGTAAATACTAACAATTTAGAAACGAAAAAATATTTAAGTGGCTCAACTCACACATTCAATAAAAATCTCCAGACTTCAATTTTCTAATCACCCTCACACATAACTAGCTAATTTCCATAAAGGGGCAGTTTTAATATGAAATAAACACTTCCCCAAAATAAAAACACTGATGTAAAAATAGGCCTTTTATCTGAAATCGTTAGAGGTTTAGTTACATCCATTTGGCTTGCATAGATTTTCCCCCCAAGGATCGAATCCAAGGTCTTCACACTGAGCTACATGCACTGCCCTTTTCTATTTTTGATTCTGAGAGGTCTCTTTAAGTTGCTTACTGGCCCAGAGTGGGTTTGAACTCACCATCCTCCTGCGTCAGCCTCCCGGAGTGCTGGGATTACAGGCAATGAACTTGCCTGCCTAAGCAAAGGAGCAGATTTTCAGGTTTGAAAAGAAATGTCCACCAAATAAATCACTTCACCTTCACTTTGGGTAGCACTTTCATTTTACCTTCACTTTCCTCCCTCGCCTAATCCCCCATTCTGGAGATTGAACCTAGGGCTGCTGCGCTGAGTCACAAGATAAACTGCCGAAATCGGGCTGGAATTTAGGATCATCCTGCCGCCGCCTCCTGGAGGATTGGGATTACAGGCTTAGACCAATTTGCCTGATGTTCCTCCAATTTGTAAATGCTCCTTCTTTTTGTAAATATAAAATGACCTATTGATTACCACATCTTTTCATAACAGCCTACAAAATCAGATTTAGTCTTTCATTTAATAATAATGGTAATAGGCAACCACTCCGTTAAGTCAGGAATTAATTTTGCGATCTTTGTGTGGTGCGTGTGTGGTAGCTCTATGGATCTAACCCAGGGCCTCGCGAGGGCCAGCCAAACGCTCTACTACTGAGCTACACTACAATTTTTAGATCGGATCTCGATAAACTAACCAGGCTGAGAACCTCCTGCTTCGCACTTGTGAATAACTGGGATCACAGGCAGGCGCCCCTGAAATTGTAAACAATACCTTGCTCCTGGTCAGTGAACAATTACAATTAAGTGTGTCACAGCTACACACTTGGGGATAGAAACGATGAGAAAAGCGCTCCGACTTACTCCACAAACGCCCGGGAGCAGAGACAATGAATTCTGCAATCCTCCTCCTGGCCTTCAACGTAGAAGAACATTTCGGCCACGTGACTCCACTTCTCACAGCACATTTTGCCCGCTCCCAGCAGTCCTGCCGTACGCAGCGCGGGCTGGACCTGTGCTTCGTAGTCCGAGACCGAAAGCAAGACTTGGCAGGCCAGACTAGGTGGTCAGACGCCGGCGCAGCACCTCTAGGGGAGAACCCACCGGGAATCCGCTACAGGAAGAGGCTCTTGGAGCTTACCGGAAGGGGCGGGGAGACGGGCGGTGTCACAGCCAACACCTTCCGGGCTTCTCTCTCGCAGGTTGCTGGGAAGAAAAGTGGCCGTCCAAATCATTGAGTTTCTCCCGGCGGCAGAGCCACCGCGAGGGCCCGCCGGCGGCGGCGGGGGTAAAGGTGAGCCGGCTTCCTGTCCCCCGTTCCCCGGGGCTCGTCGGTTCTCTCCTTGGCTTCTCCGCGTCCGGCGTCGCGTCAGTCTCGCGGGACTGGCAGCTGGAGGGGTGTGCGCCGGTCTCCCGGGGCCTCTCCGGATTGGCGGCGGCGGCGGGCTCTGAGCCGGGCTCGCGTGCTGCAGGTTGGGGAGGGGAGGTCGCGCCCGGGACCCGCGGACGCCGTGCCGCCCCGCGCCCAGACCCCGGCTCGCGGCGTTTCGCCTGCATGTGGTCCGGCGGCGAGGTGCCCTGGGTCTCACCCGGAGGCCGCTTGCTTCCCGGTGACTGTCCCGACGTCGGGCGCCTGGTGCAGCCTCGTTCACAAGGGCTCGGGAGGTGGGCGCTGGGATGCGGGGTTCGCGCCCAGACCTCGCCGGCCGGCGCGGGGCCCGGCGGACGCCCCTTTATTCCTACGTGGCTTGGGCAAGGGACTTGATCGGGAAAAAGCGGGGTGGGCAGCAGCATCCAGCTCGTGGGGCTACTGGATTGACTAAGACAAACTTGTGTACCGAAGCCGTCGTTTGTGCAGTTCGTAGTTTAAGACAGACCAGTCCCTGGGACTTTGCAGCCTGTAAAACAGGTCTCTGCCTGCCTGGTAAATAGCTAATAAAAAATGTAAATGTTCCTCTAGCTAGGCTGCAGAAAACTGTAACAACGCTGATGAATGGGGGGAAAGGCAGCCAGTGTCAGGTAGTAAGTATTCCGTGACACTACCCAGGAAACTTTCTCAAAGAAGCAAGTTCTGACCTGACATTTATTGGAGGATTTGTATTTTGTACCTAAATGGCATTGGTACTTCTGGGGACAGAGCTAAAATCCAGACATTTAGAACCGTCATTGATATTTTGACCTCGTTTACGAATGAGTGAAAATAGAAAATAAATTTTAAAATGAACAGTTTATTTGCAAACCATATTACTGCTGCACTTTGAGCTCAGAAACAGGCTAGTTTTGGTGGTTCAAAAGATGCAGAGTTACTGATGTACCAGTTTAGATGTGTAACTTCGTTGAGATTAATGGATATGAACGTAAAGGTAGAACGGAAATCGTCAGAGTAGAAGACTTGAGCTAAAAGTTGGAGGGGATGCAAGGATTTTTACAAACTTAAGCTATAATTTTAAAAAATCTTGAAAGGCAATTTATATGAGAACTTTAAGCCTGCAACTTGAAATCTACAAGTTTTGTCTTTTTATTATATAAATTCATATTGGAATTAAATCTTTTATTAGTACATGTTTGCAGTTCAACATTATTACAGAGTTGTACGTATTTGTGGAGTACATTGAGGCGTTTTTATTTCTGTTTTTGTTTTGGTACCAGGGACCTCACGCTTGCCAGGCAGGCACAAACACCAGATCCCGGGCCAGCATTGAGGCATTTTAATACATGTGCACATTGTATAGTGATTAGATCAAAGTAGTTAGCATGGCTGTCATCTCAGACATTTTCTTTGTGTTGGGAACACTCAAAATTCCCTCAGCTTTTTAAAATATTCAGTTAATTATTGTCAACTACACTTGTCCTGCTGTGCTTAGATCATTGGAAATTATTCCTCCCACCCAGCTGTTCACTGTGTCCATTAAGCATCTTCTCTTCAGCTTTACTTCTGCCATACCTTTTCTAGTTTCCGGCAGTCATAGTTCAGTTCTTTACTTCTTTGTTATTTCAATTTCACTTCCACATGTAGTGCAAGAATGTGTGAGCATTGTTTTTAACATTTTGTTAGTGCCCTGTAATTCCGCCCACGATGCTGTAAGATGACACAATTTCATTCTTTTATGACTGAATAGTGTCCTACTGCATGTACATAGCATAGTTAGTCCATTCGCCTGGCAAAGGACACCTCGTTGATTTCATACTTCACTGTGAACCGCTGTGTGGTGAACACTGGAGTGCTGATGTCTCTTCATTTCTTTTAGCTATACACTCAGTAATGGAATTGCTGGATTATATCATAGTTTTAGTTCTTACAGAAACTGCTGTACTGGCTATCGTAATGTACATTCCTATCAGTAGTATATGACAGTTCCCTTTTCCCTGCATCCTTACTGTTTTTTTGATGGTAGGGACTGACAGGGCTTTTTGAGCACGCTAAACATGCACTCTGTCCTCTATCAAATATATCTTTAGCCCTACATTTTTAAAATCTTTTTGATAATAGCCATTCTAACTGGGGTGAGATGATTTTTCATTGTGCTTTTAATATGAATTTCCTTGATGAGTGTTAAATATTTTTACTTGTTTCTCATCTGTATATCCTTTTAAAAATTTAGTTTAATTTTTAAAATTTGTGCATGTTTGGAAAAATGTCTGTTCAGGTCATTTGCCTCCCTCTTTCCCCTGTAACTGCTGGAGTTGAATCTAGGACCTTTACACTGAGCTAGTTCCCAGTCCCACTCCAACCCCTTTTTTGAGATTGGGGCTCATAAATTGCCCAGGCTGCCCTTGAACGGGAAATCTTGCCTCAGGCTCCTGAGGAGCTGGGATTACAGGTATGTGCCATTTTATCTGGCATGTTTGTCTACTTTTAAATTGATTTATTTGTGGGTTATTTTAGTCTTTTGAATGCCTTACATATTCTGAAAATTGACTCCTCCCTTTTTGGAGGAATGGTTTGCAAACACAGTGTTTTCTCTCCTGCTTAGGTTATCTCTTTGCTGTTTCCTTTGCCATATTGAAGCTTTCAGTTTGGTACAATCTCATTTGCTAATTTTTGCTTTTGTCACATGTTCTTTAAGGATCATATATTTAAAAAAAAAAAACAAACTCTGCTCACACCTGTTTCCTGAAGTTTCCCCTATATTTTCTTCTAGTAGTTTTAAAGGTTTGGGTTTTACACTTAAGTCCTTTATCCATTTTGAGTTGACCATTGTTGCATATAATGAGAGATAGCTGTAGTTTTTTCCTGCATTTGGGCACCCATTTTCCTGGTACCTTTTATTGAAAAGATGGTTCTTTCTCCAGAGTATGTGCTTGCTTTCTGGCTGTGTTCAAAATAAGTGAGCTGTAAAAATGTTCGTTTATTTCTGTAAACACTGTTCTGTTAATTTGGTCTGTGTGTGTTTTACTCCGGCTCTGTGACTGTGTAGGTTACTGTAGCTTTGTCATGTGTTTTGAAGTCAGGTATTATAATGCCTTCAGCTCCCCTTGTTTAGCGTTGCTTTGGCTATGAGGTATTTTGTGGTTCCATGTGATGTCATGGATTTTTCTAGTTCTGCGAAGAACATTTTTCTAATTCTTCGCATGTCATTGATATTTTGTTGTAAATTGCTTTGAGTCATTTTGAGTTCTCTGGACATTTTACTAATGTTCTTCCAACCCTTGAACATGAGATATCTTTCCTCTTTTTTGTGTCTTCTTTAGTTTCTTCCATCACTGTCTGTTTTGTAATTTTTATTGTAGTGATCCTTGGTTACACTTGGTTAGATTTTTTCCTAGTTTTTTTTCACTTATATAGATAGGATGCACACAGCCTGAAGGTAATATTTGATATTTTTAGTGCACTGGCTTTTTAACTGTAACTTGTCACGTTATATCCAGTGTGGAATGTTTCACTTGTTTTTGTTCAGGAAGTTTCTGATTTTAGAGGATTTTAGAGGATTTTAGATTTTGGGCTTAGAGCTGCTCAAACTCTATAGAGAATAGTGTACTATTCTCAGATTTCTGGTCACTTCTGGTGGTCTTGGAATATATCCCTTGTGGATAAGGGAACTCGGCTATAATCTCTGCTGTCTTCCTGATTTGTCTGGAGGAAGTCCTAAAGGGTTGTAAGATTTTATAGTCCTATGAAAATTGGAAACAAAACTAGATTGTCGCAAACAGGTATTTTAAAGCAGTAATGCTCAAATCATTAAAATGTTGATTGAGCCTAGGAAAAGTTTCTTTTGATGTCTATAAAAGGTTCGTAATATTTGTTGTCTACTAACAATGTTTAAGCACTTTTTAAAAATTGAGATATAATTTACCATAACATTAATCATTGTGCTTTGTACAGCTCAGTAATTTTTTAAAATGTCTTTGCAAAGGTGAACAACCATTGCTGCTAATTCCTGCATATTTCGTTGTCACAAAAACATTTTGTTTCCATTACAATCTCTCCTCATTTTCCTCTCCTCCCCAGGCACCACTTATTTTTCTGTTTCTATAGATTACCCTTTTCTGGTCATATAAATGGAATCATTAAATATATGGCCGTTTGTTTTGGCCTTTTTTTTTTTCACTTATACTGTTTACAAGACGTATCCATACATGAACCAGTAGGATACTGTACATCATTCTTCTTCATGTTTGAAAAATATATTATATGGATATACCATATTTTATTTAGTCTTTCATCAATTGACGGACATTTGAGTTATTTCCAATTTTCAGCTGTTACGAGTAACGCTGTAAATATTTTATAATTTTACATATGGATATGTGTTTTCAGTCTTCGTAGGCATATAACTAGGAGTAGAATTACTGGTCCTTTTTGAGGTCCTGCAAACTTCTTCAGGGGTCACACTATCCTCACCCATTATGTTTAAAGAGTCTAATTTTCTACATCATCATCAACTGTTTTGTAGATTGAAGGTCTCTTAATAGGAAAGGCTCACATTTTAAAATCTCCCATTCTTAAAGCACTAAAGTTTGCACTTTAAGTGATCAAACAGAGGTGATTATAGTAATTCTACTCTTTAGGTAGACCGGTTATGATATGATAAAAAATAAAGCCCTGGTTGGAGGCTTAATGTATGCTGTGTTTATGTTCCGTCACCAGATGGGCTCAGGTTTCTCTCAAACAAATGCTATTTGTTACAAGATATTAGATTAAATTAGTCTTTTGTCCCTGGAAGAACAAGTCAAAGTGTCTGCCCTGTTAAGGAGGCAGTTAGCAAGATAACTGTGGAATTAAGACACTGTAACCACTCTTGTGTGTGTCTCTTTTTTCTGTCTCTTTCATTTCTATATGTCATGCCTCAGTCACAAATGAATTCAGGTAATTTTTCATTCAGATTATATAGCATAGATAATAGTAAGATTACATAATATGGAATAATAGTAAACAATCTCTAATAATAATAGAATCAGAACTAGAAAAAATACGAATGGAAGAAGATCAAGGAACTCTTATATGGGAAATTATGATCATAATGACTGTAATTATACCATTGTCATGTATGGTAAAGTTAGTAAAAAGTAGTTTAATCAGTTGCATATCCTAACTTCATGCTTTGTTTGGTTTGCAAAGAAGCAAAGCTCTCATAGCAATGTTAAGACAGATTTTTAGGTAGGTTTACATGGTAGCATTAAATAGTGGTCCTTAGTATAGCATTGATAGCATGGGTATGAATTTAGTTGGGATATACTAGCCCAGGAGGGTAATGGTATCTGTCAAACATTTGCAAATGTCAATTGATACTTATTTTTTGGAAATTTTGATTCTAGATGTTAACAGTTATCTCCTGTCCTTACTTGTATATTCCATTTTTTGTCTATATTTTTCAGGTTACATACATTGGCGCTTGGCAGAAGATGTTTATGTAATTTCTGGTAAGTCAAGAGACTGTTTTAGAGTCAGTTTATATAATAATTGTACAGTGGTAGTCTTAGTCACTTAATATTTTAGAGAAATTTTGGTGACTGTAAGAAAGATAAAACAGTACCGATTACTTTGTTATTGTGTAATGTCAGAAGAGTAGCTAGGTTTTCTGTAAATTTGTTTCTCAATAAAAAGACAGTATCTGCCAGGCCTGGTGGTGCATGCTTGTAATCCTAGCACTTGGGAGGCTGAAGTAGGAGAATCACTGAGAGTTTGAGGGCAGCCTGGGCTACAAAATGAGTTGAAGGCCAGCCTGAACTGCATAGTGGAGACCCTTGTACATATACATACATGCTTAGACATCTCTTTTGAGGACTTACTGTAGCAGACACTTGAGATACAATGACTCCTTTAAACCTTATAATATAGATAATACTTTATTTACTATTTCCATGTTACCCACAAAGAAGCTTAGCTGTAGGAGATTTATTGTGCAAGGTACACTAGGAAGCAGAAACCCTGTCTCAAAAAGACCAAAAAGTGTCCAAAAATGTGTATCATTTCCTAAAGAATTTGGTTAAATTTACTGAATCAGATAATGATATTTTGTGAAGAATACCATTTCCCTCAACATGACCTAGTTTAAAATCTAGCTGTTCAACATAATCTACTTACAATATGAGTCAAATTATTAGGTCAGTCTGAAATTTCAGTCCTCATCAGCCTTGTCCTATCTCAGTCACAGCTTGCAAGTTATTTCAGATGCTAAGCTCAGCATACTTCATGAGCCAACAGGTGAAACTGTAATTTTTGCATTCAAATCTACCTCACAGTCAAGCATTAAAAGGTCTGCTAATTTTGGAATTAAGGAATGATAATAGTATTTGTGTAGACTGATGCATTTAACTTTGTTGTTGGTAGGAGGATAATTGGATCATTTTTCCTTTGTAGTGTCAAGATTGAAGACTTGCTTTAGCAATGAAGAAAGAGACTGAGTTCATCACTTTCACCTAAAGAAAAATGATAGACAGAAATCAGACCTGTGCTGCAGGACAGGATTCTCTGCCCTATATGACTTGTCTGGTTCACATGCTTGAAGAGTGGCTTGATGTGGAGCAGCTGGAGGACTACTTGAATTTTGTAAACTATCTCTTGTGGGTTTTTACGCCACTAATACTTGTAATACTTCCTTATTTTACTATCTTTCTTCTCTACCTTACCATTCTTTTCTTACACATTTACAAGAGGAAAAATGTGTTAAAGGAAGCCTACTCTCATAATCTGTGGGATGGTGCCAGGAAAACAGTGGCCACAGTGTGGGATGGACACGCAGCGGTGTGGCACGGTAAGCCGGGATGCTTTGCTCTCTGGAGTTCACGATCTGTGTGTTGCACTGGAAGTCTGTTAGCATTCCATCTTACTGATGATATGCGTGGGGTAATTTTAATCCCTTTGCATTGACTTAAGCGTGTTCTGTTGGCTAGCCTGTGGTCTGTTTTGGATAACGTCCCATGTGCTAACATTCCATTTTATTTATTGAGAAGATACTGAAACTTACAGTGAAAGTATAGTTGTTCCTGATTATCGATTTGCATGCATTTACATTTGTATAACTCTTAAAATTATTTTTTCCAAACATTATTTTCTATTAAATGGAGACCCACACTGCTCTGAAGACGATTGCTACAAGCTAAAACTGGAAAGTTAATACGTAAAATATCTAGAAGAGTAAGACTAATTAAAGCTGAATAGACACTTTTTTAAAGACTTTAAATTATTTAGCATTTTTTTCTAGTTCTATGCAAAATAAGTTCAATTTTCAGTGTAGAGATTTTTAAAGAATGAAATATTTACTGGTATTATATTAAATGTCATTTATACACCAAATTTGCTTACTTTCTGTTTAATTCATCTTAGAGGTAAACATGTGTTTTGGAATAAATGTGATGGCTATGAATTTCCCTGCAGGAAATTCTTTTATGATTTGAGATATTGCACACTTACTTGTGGGGTCTTCATTTGGCTATTGTGAAAATTGCCCTCTGGTGACCTGTTTTCAAGGGCTTGGTATTTTTCTCTATTAAATTTTCTGCATTATTCTGCCAGGGCCTTGTTTACTGGTTTCTTTTTTTGAGGTATACAATGATATTTCAGATTAAAAGAGGCGGTGCTGTAGTCCCCTCTTCACTGATACACGAGGATACCTAGACCAGGTAATCTATAAAGACTAGGTAATTTGTTTTGGCTCACAGTCTGGAAGTCCAGCAGCATGGTGTTAGCCACGGTGAGGGCCTCATGCTGCTGCATGCATGGTGGAAAGCAGAAGGGCAAACAGCACATGCAAAGAAGCGAAATGTGTGGGGTGCCTTTTCTACCGAGCATGCCCTGTAGGTAACCTAGACAGCCTTCCAAGAGTGAAAACACTTCTTCCTGGGAACGGCATTAATCTGTTGAAAATGGCTCTGTCGCTGTCGCCCATACACCTGAGGTCCCTTCTAAGAGGGCCACATGGAAGAATTAAGTCTCGCATGAGTTTTGGTGGGGATGAAGCAAGGCAGCATATGACAAAGATGTGACTTCATCGCATTGTTGAAGTGGCTTTGTAAAAGGGCATAGAGTCGCAGACTTTGACACAGACTGGAGGTTATGTATCATGGAAGAAAGGCTGCTGTCAGCAAAGGTCAACAATGCAATGCTTATTATGCCGATGAGTTTCCATCTTAATATACATACATGCTTAGACATCTCTTTTGAGGACTTACTGTAGCAGACACTTGAGATACAATGACTCCTTTAAACCTTATAATATAGATAATACTTTATTTACTATTTTCATGTTACCCACAAAGAAGCTTAGCTGTAGGAGATTTATTGTGCAAGGTACACTAGGAAGCAGAACCCAGACACAATATCGGACTTGTAGTCCTGATGTTTATGTTCTTTGTCATGCAGTGAGTCTTTCCAGGATTAAGAATTCAGGGCCAAAACTCATGATATTAGCAGTTTTGTAAATGGGAACCATATGCCTTTGATGTCGTTTTTAAAGAAGATTTTTTTATTTGTACCTATTGGTTTTATAAAATACTGGGATTTAATATGGTATTTTCATACATGCATGTATCTATTTTGATCATATCTGTTCCCCCAGTACCCTTTCATCCCCTTCAGCTTGCTTCCTTTCTCTTACCTGCTACAGTTCTCTGTTACTTTGTCATTTTTCCCCTTCTCTTTTGGCAGTCGGTTGAAAAACAATCCAGAATTACAGAAGAGTTGAAAACTTAGTATCAAGAGTTCTTATATATGTTTCACACAACTTCCCCTAGTGTTAGCATATAATCTTTGTACAATTATTGAATGAAGGATGAGCAGTACAACCTATTGCATTGTGTACATTACTCAAACTTTACTATTTTTCTTCCAGTGTTCCTTTTTCCAGAATCTCTTACTGCATTTTGTTGTCATGCCCACTCTAACTTGTGACACTGTTTTTAGTTGATTTATGACTTTGACACTTTTGAAGAACATTGGTCAGTTACATCACAGACTGCTTCTCAATTTAGAGGTGGCATTTTCCATAGTTAGATGAAGGTTATGCGTTTTTGATAAGAATGCCAAAAGTGTACTTCTCAGTGCATAATATCAGAGGACTCAGGGTGCTATTGTGCCTTTTTTTCATGATGCTAACTTTCCTCACTTCCTTAAGATGTCAGGTAGCTCTGTCATGAAGCTCTTCGTTTTGGTCTGGGGATGTGGCTCACTTGTTTAATATGTCTGAGGTCCAAAATTCAGTATCCTGCACCACACCACACATAAAAGATACTACCTTTTTTAAACATTAATTGACAAATTATAGTTGATTTTTCTAGTAATTTATAGAAACTTGAAAACTTCTGAAGAGCATACAATAGGATATTTAACTTCTGAATCTTTTATTTTTCATCTTCTAATTGGATTATTTTAAGGTTTCAGTGAAATGTCATATAGCGTTTAGCATAATTTCTGAAGTTTCAGTAAATGCTAGCTATAATTGTGGAGCGTCATTCTCTGACCCTTCTGCCTCTTGCTGTTACATTCAGCTTAACATACTTTCTGGGCCACTGATATTTAAAATGCACTTTTTCTCGCTGTCACAGTTTTTACTGTTATTCCTAGTAAGAAAGGCGTTTTTCCCCTAGTATACATATTCACGTTACCTACTTTTTCATGAAAAGTGTGCATCTCTCTATATTTAATTGGCTCTTTTATTTTATATTCTATTTTTTTTAAATGCTCTTTGTAACTTGTTAAAGAGATTTCATGACTGACTAAGTTGATCTCACGACTCATGAATAGATGACAGCGTGTGAAGAGCGTGAACCTTGGTGCGCGTATGCTTTCTGCAGTGTGGTGGGGAACCCGGATGTGGCAGCAGCAGGTTTGCACCCCGCTCCCGCTCTGTAACCCTGGGAAAACAAGAGGCCTCTCACACTTAGCCTTTCTCATCTATGGAGAATCTTTCATGAATATTTTGTAGTCCAGGATAGTTTTTGGCATATAGATTCTCTCTAAATGTTCAATAAACTTCAATTTATAGGACCAAAATAAAAGCACTGTTCACAGATAAGTTAACTTTCGAATGAGGCTTTTACCATTTTGTGACACACCTGAAATTTGTATCTTGCAGCCGGGCGGCTTGAAGCACGGATGGTACATGCATGCTGTCCTGTTCATGACTGCTGTTTCAACCCCAGTGTTACAAACTGCTTGATAGGACAATCTGGCATGTACTGCCAGTGGTACCTCTAGGGGGAACATGTTAAAAGTGAACAGGAAAAAAGTAATTATTTTGCTGCTACTATATTTAGAGACTAACGAAGGTGGCCAATGTTAAAGGAAAACATTGATAAAAGTTGGTTCAAAATGAAGTCAGAAAGAGACAGTCATAAAATAATTTGGAATAGTATCTAACACTTTTCTCTTTGCTTCACAAAACACATGGACCCTTGAATTCTACCAGACTTTTAAGGAGCAAATGATACCCACCTTAAAGTGTTTCGGGGTGGAAAAAACACGTGGAGCTTATAATGTATTCCACAAGGCTACTCTGAGACACAGAAAAAGGAGATTTGTGGCCAGTTTTACAGAACATAGTTTTACAAAATCTAGTACTTAGGACTTAAAAGCGAAAGCTATTTTTTTGGTGGTTTTTTTTTTTTTTTTTTTTTTTTTGGTACTGAGGATCGAACTCATGATCTCATGCTTGCCAGGCAGGCGCTATGCCTGTGAGCTAAACCCCTGGCCTGAAAGCTATTTTTTAAAAGGCATAACAGTGTACAAATGGTAGACCAGATCAGCACGACTCATTTACAACTTGTCTTGAAAATAAATTAGAAGAAAACCTAACTTAAAGATGGCTAAAGGATTTGATCAGGAAATACAATGGCTAATAAATGTGCAAAGCCCCCTAGTAACTAGGGAAATGCAAATTAAAATGTCATTGAGATGTCATTTTTACCCAAAAGATTGACAAAAGTGGGTAGCATTAAAGAATGAGAATGTGATTAAATGGAAATTGTCACTCAAAGCATGTGGGTAGGCAGTACCACAGTTGGAAGAGGAAGCACAACTTACAACCAGTGTGACTGAAGACGGGACTCTCAAGTTCCTCCTGTTAGTATCTCATCTAGTGATTATGTTTGGTGCACAAGGGTACATATAAGTGGATATTTATTGCAGCAGTATTTGTAAACATTTGGAGTAATCCAGTTGCCCCTTAGTAACCAGTGCATGTATGGTTGAATGAACTGCGATCTGACCTTGTTATGGAGCACTTTACAACACTAAAAAGAGTAACTTGCTTTCCGTGCCTGTCATGGATAGATCCCCAAAATACCTTCTTGTACTCTATAGAGACTGGTGGAGATGGCCAGTGTTACAGGAAATCAGTGGTCAAAGTTGGTTCATTTTTCATGATTATATTCACAGCACATACTCATTTTGTTAAACGCACATCAGCAAATAAGATGTGTGGTATGTTCGGAGCTAGAAGGTGAACAGTATGTGGGTAAGTGCTGGGCTTAGAGGTGAACTTGAAGCTAGACTGCAGAGGAGATGGGTTTTAATGGAACTTCAGTCCTGTGCTCAGGAGTTTGCCCCTTTTATTGGGAGACACTTGAGTTTTTGTTTTCCTGAGAAAGATCCAAAAGTGTGACATCATCCTTAATTTACCATAATGCATAGGTGTAATGTCTTTATAGTGAATTTAAAAAAATGTATTACTGCTAATTTCACAAAATACTGGTTTTCATTGTATATAGTATATTTTGATTATATTATCCCTCTTATTCCTTTCCTCATGTTTAACAGTCTCCTATTTAATGCCATCTTTTTTAGATTCACATATCGTAAGAGCATGTGAAACATCTTTCTGAGTCTGGTTTATTTTACTTAAGATGATGATGTACAGTTCTATCCATTTTTCTGCACAGGGCGTAATGTTTACAGCTTAGTAATACCTCTTCCACTCCCCTCCCATTCCCCTCTCTTGCCCTCTCCTCTCTCCTTCCCTCTCTCCCCTTCCCCTCTCTATATATATAAAATGAAATTTTAAAATCCATCTCTCGATAAGCAGTTAGGCTAGTTGCATATCTTGACTGCTGTGAATCATGACCACAGAAAATGTGGTTATGCTGCCGTCCCTGTAATAGGCTGGTTTTAATCCCTTCAGCTGTATAACAGGGCGTGGTGCAGCTGGATCAGCAGTAGCTCTGGTTTAGCTTTTTCAGGACTTCTGTGCCGATCTCCAGAGGGGTATAGTAATGTAATTACTACCACAGTGTGGAAGGGTTTCTTTTCCCTACATCCTTGCCAGCTTTTACTGTTTTTTACATTCTTGATGAGAGCCATTCTGACTGGGATGAGAGGGAATCTCAGTGTAGTTTTTTTTTTGTTTGTCTTTTTCCTTTTTATCGGTACTGGGGATTGAATTCATGACTGCCTGCTTGCAAGGCAGGTGTTGATGCCACTGAGCTAAATCCCCAGCCCCACTCAGTGTAGTTTTGATTTGCATTTCCTAATGGCTAAAGATCCTGAACTTATTATTTTTCAAATACTTACTTCTTTTTTTTTTTTTTTTTTTTTTTGTCTTTTGAGCTAGGGTCTCGCTACGCAGTTCAGGCTGGCCTTGAGCTCACTTTGTAGCCCAGGCTGGTCTCACTCACAACGATCCTCCTGCCTCAGCATCCCGAGTGCTGGGATTACAGGCATGAGCCAACATGCCCAGCCATTTGCACTTATTTTGAGAAGTATCTGTTCAATTCATTTGCCCATGTAGTAACTGGATTATTCGACTTTTTGAATTATATAGTCTAGATACTCTCCATCAGGAGAGTAGCTGGCAGAATTCTTCTCCTATAGGCTCCTCTGTTACTTGCTTTCCTTACTATGGAGAAATGTTTTAATTTGCTGTAGTCCTAGTTGCTAATTTTTGCCATTATTTCCTGGGCTTCTGGAGTCCTAGTCATGAAGTAGTTGCTTGTGCCTGTGGATTCAAATATTTCCTCTGTGTCTTGAGAAATTTCAAAGTTTCAACTTTTATTACCATGTCTTTGTTCCATTTTTGATTTCTTACAAGGTGAGAGATGAGGATCTAGTTTGAAACAAAACCATTCAGTTTTGCCAGCACCATTTGTTAAAGAGGTTGTCTGTTCTCCAGTGTATGCATTTGGTTCATTTGTCAGGGATCAGGTATGGATTTTATCCTATGTTCTTTTGTTTTCCCTGGTCTCAATGTCAGCTTTTGTGCCAACACCATGCTGTTTTTATTCCTATAGTTTTGTAGTATAATTTGAAATTGGGCATTGTGATGCTTCCAGCTGTCTTCTTTGTGCTTAATATTGCTTTGGCTATTTGTGTCCTTCTTGTTTACATATGAATTTAGGAGTATTGTTTCTAGTTTGTGAAGAATTTCATTCTAATGTTGACGGGAATTGCATTGAATCTGTAGATGTTTTTTGGTAAAATGGCCATTGATGTATAGAAAAGCTTGTGGCTTCAGAATGAGTTCTATTTCTCAGTCTCTCTGTGTCTGTAATCCTCTCCTTCAGCAGTGGGAAACCTGGCTCGAGTCACCCTTCATATCAGACTCATTGATCAGTTCTGCTCTGTGTGGCCAGCGTGTCAGTGGCCACCATCCCTGGCATTCGCGGTCACTCTCATCCTAGGCCCTGACATTGAGGCTGGGCCGCCACCTTGTTGGGTGCTCACCTGCCTGCTGTAGCGCCCCGCCCCAGGTCGTCTCCCCCCCACACGTCCTCACCCCTTAGCTGGGCTGGACCTCCACAGCATGGGATCCTCCTCCTCGCTTCCCTTAGGCTCTGACCTGCCGGCCTCTCACCTGGCTCCCTTGTTCCCCACACCGCCTGTGTTCCGCTCTTCCAGGAGGGAGCTGTCACAGCTCTGCCTTGCTTTGGTGCCTCACTGGTGTGGCCTTGCCCTGCACGAACTCCTACACTACCTCAGGCCGCCTCTTCAGGCAAGTGCGTGTTTATCCCGCCCCATTTGGTGTCGTAGGACTAATTTGTACAAGGAATAAAAGGACGGAGGAGGAGAGAGGAATAAAAAGGAAAGTGACAAGGAAACCAAGGAAGTTACGAAAAGATGCCAGCTTTTGAATTACCAACTATTGTTTAGTACGAATAGCTATTAAGTAAACGTTGAGGGTATTTTGTCTTTCAAACAGGTTACGAAGTGCACGGAATGGAAAAAATACCAGCAGAAGGGCCAGCACTGATCATTTTTTACCACGGAGCTATTCCCATTGACTTCTACTACTTCATGGCTAAAATCTTTATCCTCAAAGGCAGAACGTGCCGAGTGGTAGCTGATCACTTCGTCTTTAAAATTCCAGGTAAACTTTCACCGTAAGTAGTAACACACAGACGTTTAACGTGAACATACTATGTAGTAGTCTGTTCTTGAGGTCTAGTGCCATTTGGAAAAGTTGTCTGTCGGGGCTGGAGACTTAGCTCAGCGGCATAAACGCCTGCCTTGCAAGCAGGCAGTCGTGAGTTCGATCCCCGATACCGATAAAAAGGAAAAAGGAAAAGTTATCTGTCATCTTAGAGTAACAAGCTTAGAACTCTAATTTAAAAATACCTAATTAACTTGCTTAGGTAGTATATCCAAAAATAAAAGTGTTATAGCCAAAAGTATTTCTTTCTTTAGTAGGAGGTGTTTAGCTTCATTTCACGTTCAATGTTTTAAATCTTTTTCTCCTGTCTTTTTGTTGCTTTTGTTGAGATTGCCTCTCACTACATTGCCAGGCTGGCCTTGTACTCCAGGCAGTGCTGTCTTTCTCCTGAGTATCTGTGCACCAGATTTGGCCTGATCTTTATTTTTGCATTGCTCGGGATGGTACCCAGGGCCTTGTAAAGCTAGACAAGCATTTTACCACTGAAAAAATATCCTTAGGCCAAATGTTTAACTTTAAAAAAAATTCTAATCTTTGCAAAACAGTATATAACTTGACATAGAAGATGATTGATTTTTATATGATAAATTCTTTGTAGGATATGTATTGATTTTTGTAGTTTAATTTTACTGTTAGAGTTTTACAGCTATCTGTTTGATAGCAAATCAAAATTAAGGAAAAAATTAACCAGGCTATATTATAAGCAGCTTTTAAACTGTTGATAAATGCTTTGAGCCTTTTTAAAAAGGATTTAATTAGCTAGATGAATTCAAACACAAAGACAACTTTTTAAGAAAACCTTCTTTGGATTACTCATTGAGATTAAATCTATTTTCTTATGTCACTAAATCACTAGAAACATGCCAAGTAAGCTGACAATATGTTCTTTGAAATAATAAAAGTAAACTGATTCACCAGCTAGACAGACTCAAACCAAGCAGTGAATTAATGATCTACTTCAGTGCCTTAGAAACTAGAGATCAGAAGAACATCATTATAATTTTATTCTAGCATAACCTCATATCATTTTACTTTAATTTGTACACTTTATATTTTGCAAACAGTGCTGTATTTTTAAAGATTTACGTTAGCATAAACATTTCACTGTTTTATAAAAGCAGTTTTAGTGTATAACTAAAATGTTTAACTTTTTTTCTTTTAGAATTAGGTTGCTTTCAATTGTCTCCATTTTAGAAATAATAAAATGAGTATTTTTTTAGTATTGACCTTTTGAAAAAGTTTTCCTTTGTGATCCTTGTAACATTTTGATACTGATCTACCTTAACTCCGTCACTGTTTTTGGAAGATATGAAGTCATTGTATGTCTTAGTGCAAGAGAATTTCTTATTTTATCTTAGTAGTTTTTGAAGTCCTTTCCATCACGAGAATGTGTTTGGTTAAATCAGTGAGCTTTTAAGATCATGTAGGTTGAAAACTGTTTAAACCTTAAGGGTAGTTGTAATTTTTACTTCAGATCTTTAAACTACTGAACAATTTGGTTAGCGTGCAGAGTTTTTAGTAGTCATTCCTGTATTCCCCGATCTTGAAAAGAAATGCGCATATACTATAGTAGTAGCTCTCTGAGGCTCCAGTCTAGGATTTGATTAAAATATTTAATTACTCAGAGGATCACATCTTTCATCCATAAATAGTTGTAATTTGAAAAGCTGTGTAGCATTAAGACTTGGAATTAGCTATTCTTGAATCAATCGCCCTCACTTTATTAAAAAGTCTTAATGTTTGCTATTAGTACTTTTAAAAATATAATTGTAGGATGATCATCATCTAACTTAATTTCAGTAGCTTATATTATTGCCTGTCTTGGTTGGGTTAAGCATAGATTCACATTCTCTTGACAGAGTCTTACACGATTAGTGTGAGATTAGATTTGTGATTGCTGATGGAATATCATTTCTGGTTGCTGTAATAAATACTTTAGAATGTATTTGAGCTTTGTACTAGAGATAGCTAAATCAGAATTTCTGCCCTGCCACTTCTGAGCTGCGTGACTCTGAGCATGCTGCCTAAGGAGCGCAGAATTCCTCTGTGAAGTGAGGAGAGAATGATTCCCTGTTCTCTGAGTTTGCTGTGAGTTGTGACTGCACCTGACTGTGTGCAGTAGGCAGCGTGGTGATAGTCAGATGTAGCTGTTACGTCATGAGCAGTATAATTTTATGTTAAGAATTGTTTTGCAAAATACGAGTCTGTGACATAAGTATAGATAATAAATCATGTAGGATGTGAAAAGTTTTATTGTTACAGTGTTGACTAGGAAGTACTTTAAGATTTGTTTTTGTGATTGTGTTTCTAATAGGGTTTAGTTTATTACTTGACGTATTTTGTGCTCTACACGGACCAAGAGAAAAATGTGTTGAAATTCTGAGGAGCGGCCACTTGCTGGCCATTTCCCCAGGTGGAGTTCGGGAAGCCCTGCTGAGTGACGAAACCTACAATATCGTGTGGGGTAACCGCAAGGGCTTTGCTCAGGTTGCAATTGATGCAAAAGCGGTAAGTCGGATAAGATTAATTTTTCACATACACTTAGTTAGATGAAAAGTAACGCTTACTGCACCAAAATGCATAAGAATTTGGTAACAGTTTGTAAGCTCTCAATAGAGAAATATTTGTTGTGCATGGGATATCACATTAAATAAAATTATCTGGAAATTTGGCAACTATTCAGCAAGGTTTATTTTCTTTTAAAGTTGAAAATTCAGCTTCTTTTCAAGACTTTGTAATACTATACAGATAACTTTACCTGGCCTTCAGTTATACTTTTTTCATAAGTATAATCAGCTTGATTATGTATATATTAGACCATTGGTGCCTTTGATATGAATGAATCGATATACTTCAATGGTGTTTTTTGTTTCATAATAGTTCTTTTTTTTTTAAATAATGCCCAAATAATGCATGCTATCATTTTTCATCAGCAAATATGATAAGCTATGTGATAGTAAAAGATAATAAATAGATACTGTTGTAATTTAGATACATCTTTTTTTTTTTGTTTTTTGGGGAGTTTTTTGGTACCAGGGATCGAATTTAAGACTTTGTGCTTGCCAGGCAGGTACTTGTGCCACCGAGCTGTATCCTCGGCCCCTAATTTAGATATTTCCTAAACACTTTCCAAATGAATTTGTCAGTAAATTAAGTGTTCTTCTGTGGTGATTTACTGTAATTATTCTACCTAATACCCTAAACTGTGAATATCATTTGTGTTTTTCTTATGCTTTCAGAAAGTATTTTTCAGCATTTTGGTTTCTATATTGTGCTTTATTCTATGAAACAATTATTACTTAGGAAATGTCTTTCCTTTGTCTTATTTTTATTTTAGATTGTCTGAAAAAGAACCTGTGTTTCCTTTGATAGGGTGGTGGTGGTCTTTTGCCAGGCCTGTGAGATAAAGACTACTTCCACTCACCTCCATTTTTCAGATTTTTTGTGTCCTGCCTGGTGCTACTTGAAGAAACCAGTCACATCTTTAGCTTGACTGTGTGTCTTTCAAATACAGACTATTGATTGTAAAAAGACAGATTGCAGACAGCTCACTCTAGCCAAGAAATATTTGAAGAATGGATATTTTTGTATTTTAATTATATATAAAGTTTATAGTAAAATAACATGCATTGAGCACTTCTCTTTCCTATGCATGTGTATGTGTGTGTGTAGTTCTCTGGAGTTACTGCTCTGTCTTAATAATGTCGTCCTAGTACAAGTGAATGTTCTTGCCCAAATGTTTAGGTGTCAACAATTAAATAGTACCATGATGACAAAAGATTTCCTATTCAAATTCTTACTACTGTGACCAGCTTTTCGTAGGCCTTAGATGTTTGTTTTATTGAATTGACTTTTTTTAAACATAGACAATTAAGAGTATTGAAAAGAAGGCTTTTGAATTTAATTTTGTTAATGGGATTAGTAAAAATTAAGACTAATCATAATGTATTATTGAAGCAATAATAAAAACTAAAAACCTAATTAAAATGTAAAGGTGATTCACTTTTTACATTCATATTTTGAAAGAATTAACTTCTTAGATAACAAAAATAGATTTGAAATTAAATGAATTTGTTGTGGAATTCTCATTCTTTATCCTTAACTTTGTAGTCTAAGTAGCATCGCTTAGAAGAGGTTAGAGAAGAGATTATAAAGGGAGAACGCTTTCTAATCCTTGAGTTTCTAGATAACCAGTTAAAATAATCCAGTACTTTAAAAGTTTTTGTATAAAGCTTCAGCAAATTTAAGAAATAACCTTTTATACATTTGACAACAAATAAAATTCTTTAACATTCTTGATTCACAAAGTACCATTTTAAATTTCAAAAGCATTGTGCCAGCCCAGCATCTTGTAGCACCTTTAAAGACTGATGTTGGTGCAATATGTAAATTAGTGTTAATTTCCTATTTTTTTGAAATTCTGTATCGTTTCTATCCTTTTTTCTGTTCTGCTTTTTTAAAATAAAAAACAGTAAGTAAAATTAAAGGCGTTTTCAACAGACTTAGCTTAAAGACTGACCTGGGTGTGTGATGAGGAGGTGACGAATGTCATTATTCCGATGTTGCAGATGAGGAGACTCAGGCACAGAGAGATGGAGGGCTGGAAGGGATCTGGTCCCAGCAAGTCAGCAGCACAGCAGAGCGCACAGTTCAGGCCTCCTGCGCTTCACAGTGAGTCTGCTGGCGCCGAGGCTGAGGGCCTGCTAGTCTCGCCAGGGAACTCTGGCAGTGGTGCACGGATGCAGCTGTAAATGACGAAAGAGACCCAGCTGGGAAATCCTTTCACTGCTCTTGCAGCAGTAGCACAAGTCATGAACAGAAATTTAGGACATCATTACAGGATTAACTGCAGTTAAATTGTGACAGCTGGGCTTGAGGGTGTAACTTGGTGGGATGATGCTTGCCTCAGGTATTAGGCCCCGTGTTCAATCCCCAGCACTGCAGTCAGCCAGTGAATAAATAAAAAGTGACGTACCAACATAAATTAAGAAGGAAAAATCCAGATTGTGAGTGCAGTTCACAGAATATTGGTAGAAAGTACGTAAGGTTCATTTGAAAGTAACTAGACTTTTTTCATATGTAGTATAAATCACTCTTATTTTGTAAATTGTTGAGCATTAAGGGCTTTGAAAAAATTTTTAGGTAATTTAATATTTAAATAAATTGGGGAAAAATTATCTGCGTAATTGGAAAATAAATAACAAGAATAAAAGAAAATAACATTTTTTTCAATAAGTTGTTGATCCGAATTATCCCAATCCATAGAAACTCATTGAACTGAGGACACATTATATATCTGAAAGAAGACTTAGATGTATCAGAATTTGACCAGTGATTCTCATTTTTATTAGGAGAAGCAAGACCCTCGGCCTATGTTAAACTGATTGCTCAAGACAGTTTTAAAAATACATTCTGTCTTCCACACCCAGACACACACATACATAAACCTATTTCTAGGTCAAAAATGGCATCGTAGGTCACTTACACAACTATTTTTGTATATAGTGTGTGGAAGTAAAGGTGTAAGTGGCTGTTTACCCAGCCGGACTCCAGAAGGCTGATAGTTCCGGCTAGAGGCGAGCTTGAATGGAAATTCAGCACCCACAGACCCACACTGGAGCCTGGCAGGGTGCACTCCCTCCTGTTCTGGAAGGACGTGTGTAGGCATGTTGTTGAGTCTGAAGTACCTGGAGAAGTGGGATTGTGCCAGGCACACACAGAAGTCCAGCAGGACTGTCCAGGGAGGTAAACAGTGGCCCTGTGAGCTGAGTGTTTTCTGTTCTTTCTTGGGCAGTGTAAATTCTTGACTGTAAGATGTTTTATAGCTATTTAAAGTATTAGGATTCCACCATCTTTTTTTTTTTCAAAACTTGTGATTTCCTACTTTTTTCTTTTACAGAAGAATTCAGTGTACTATATACTTTATTTGTTAGCCCTGTGAATTAGCTCCATAAAATTTTAAATTTTTAAAAAATTTTTAATCTTTTTTATTTTAGTTTTTATTTTTTGAGACAGAGCCTTACTATACAGTTTGTGCTGGCCTTGAGCTCATTTTGTAGCCTAAGAGTTGGTCTCGAACTCACAAGGATCCTGCTGCCTCAGCTTCCTGAGTGTGAGGATTACAGACGTGTGCCACCACGCCTGGCAGAGTTTTGAATTCTTGACCTAACTGCTTTCCTTTCCCGGCTTCTCTACTTCTTACCCAATGTTGAGATCATTCTGGCTATCTCTTTGTTTTCAGAGAATGCCGATCAATTCATTAGAGACCTTACCTCTGTTCTGTTTTTCATTCCTTAGCTCACTTACTGCCTTCAGTTTGAACTCCTCATAAATTCCAGATACAGTGTCTTAGGTGTTGGGGTTACAGCAGCGACCAGAACAGAGTCCTCTCAGTGCCTTAGCTGTCTTCCTTCCTGCCCAGAAGAAGAGATGCAGGAAGAGATTAGTTAGTTCTACTGGGGCCTTAAGCTTTGTGAAGAAATCTGTACTTGTGTGTTCTTTCTTTTGGTCTGTGAATAGCAGTCTTAAAATGTTGCTTTATTTAAATATGTCTGAAACCTGCTCTGTGCTAGGCATGTGCAACCCTGTGTAAGTAGCACAGGACTTGCCCCATACACACAGCTTTATTTATTCTAAAACATTTAATTTACTGTATTTGTGTATATATTAAAGTGTTTAATCTACTTTCATATTTTTACTGGCATAACCTCCCTGTATGATACTTCATGATATTTCATTATTTTATGGTGTTTAGTTTATGCTTTCATTTAAAATCACACTTACCATTAATATTCCTGATGAAAAAATGAAGCATCATGACCTTGGGAGTAGAAGTCCTCTGAAAGTAATGGTATAAAAGAATTCTTAAATATGTATTTTTCTTTTTTTCTTAGTAGTGAGTCTTATACGTGCATGAATGAATGTTGAGCATTTTACATTTATAAGGCTTACAAGAATGCTGTTTTACTAGTTCCATGAATTATATGACAGCATCTTGCAAAAACTGTCATTTAAGTATATGTAACTTCCCCCTTCGAGAGACTGTGCACCTTGTAGGTTTTCTTTAGTGAGCATACTGTTCAGTGGCCCACTAAAGCCAAGGAAATTATACTGTAATCTGTATTTTGAGTTTTAAGGGTTTATGTAGGATACTAGCAAACTTAGTAAATGAAATATTATATATTACCACTGGGGGTTAGTGTTTTTATTTTTATAATTTATATTTTTACAAATGATTAAGTTGAATTTAGTTTGGTAAATCACACTACTTAAGTGTGCCTCTATTTTTAAAATCTTATTTTTATAATTTCAAACAGACCTTCAAAAGTTTGCCTTAATGATTCAATAAAAACATTGAATAATTTATTTACTTTTTTAATTCACATTTTTTCCTTTAGCCTATTATCCCTATGTTTACACAAAATATTCGAGAAGGATTTAGATCACTTGGAGGAACAAGTAAGTTGTGATCATGCGGTTTTTAATTACAGTGTGTACTTAAAATGTTTGGGCTTTTGAACCCTATAGAAAATCCTTTTGAATTAACTTCAGAAAATGGATATATTATTTAGATTTTATCATATAAAGCCTAAGTGATAACTAAGTAATGGCAATTCTTAGATATTTTAATTTTGTTAAATGTATATGCAGTGTACATATATGGGAGCTTATTTGTAGTGGACTTTTTAAAGTTTCAAAATAATTTATCTAATACAGTAGTTTTACTACAATAGTAAACCATGTTTTTCTAAACCATGAGGTTTAGAAAAAACTTAAGTACTGTCTTTTAAACACAACCATGAAGAAGGTACAGCTTTAAAAAGGCTGGCACTGTGCACTGAGGTAAGATTAGCAACCTAAGCAGGTGGCGCTTGTTCTGGTTTATTTCTGCCACTTTAAAAAAAATATACTTTAAATCATGATATATTTAATTGAAAAGTTTTTTTAATCTACCATTGAGTTTCTGGTTAAAAAATAAGCTTTTAATCCAGTTTTAGAGATGATAACAGTTGGATATGTCTTTTCTTTGCTCTTCTGTTTTGCAGTTCTCGGCTGGCCTCTGTTGTACGCAGCCCGTTGTTTTAGGTCCCTAGTACCGTTGCTGTTAGCATTTGTGCACACATACAAATGAGCCTGTTCTGAAGAGCTTTAACGTGCTCTTTACGGTGTGACCATTGCTGTTTTGTTCCTGTTCCTTTATGGTTTTTGTGTTAGTTTTCTGTTTTCAGATTTAAAGTAGAAAGCCAGGTTTTCTTACAGTATTTAAGTTCTGCTACACAGTTGTTTCAAATTTTCCCTCCGCCTACCTCTTCATAATTTGAATGGCTGACCAGAAATTATTCCAGAAATGTTTTCGTTAATTTTTAATTAGTGTCAAAATTCATTTGAATTGTTCTTTATTTTTCTTGACCTTGAAGCTCAATATCTCAAAAATTAGTATCTAGTGGTTATTTTTAGTGTTACTGTGTCTGATGGTTTGCTTTGCATCCATTCACTAACAGTGTTTCCTGCTTTCAGTAACAGTACCTGGCTGTGTGTTTAGTCCCTCTGGCTTACTTTTTATAAATTCCTTTAACACTATTTTTAAAAACTTAGTTCATCAGCTTGTCTTCTATTTTGAACTACTTTATATTTAATCTTGCTCAATCTTCAAACTTGTGATTGATATTAGTCAATTTTTGTTTTGATGTTAGTTTTGTTTTTTCAGTCCGCAATCATGTTTGTTAGTGTTCGAGTCATTTACTGGTTCATCATCATTACCTAAACTTATTTATACCCCTCCCATTGTATTTTACATCATTTATTTAGAGTTGCTAGAAAATCTAGCATCTAGCATTTGGTTGCAGTCTTTACTCTTGGCAATAATAGTAATTTATTTGTCTTTTCAAATAATCATATATAAAACTTTTATCTTTTTTAAGCTAATAATTTAAAAAATTTTTTTTTATTTTAAAGATAGTAAAATCTAACAAAACAAAACAACAAAGCCAGTCAAAACAATGCAGCAAAATTGGTACAGCAGTTCAAAGCAGGATGCTAGGAAAACAACAATAGCTACCGTAGTGTATCTTACCTTCATAATTGTCCATTCCATCAGGTATAGCAAAATCAAACCAAAAATAGAACAGAATAAAACCAATCAAAACAATGTGAAATAAAGCAAAATAGTTAATTAGATCAAAGTGAAACAGCTAGAACAGTATTGAACTTCAAAGACAAGATAGAAAGAAAGCCCCCACACTAGTGCATACTGTTGACCTCCTAAGGCATGCTCAGACCGCTGGCCCGAAACCTGCAAAGTCAACCAAACAACACAAGCATTTGATTGCTTTATGTACCTTCGTTGCTCTCAGTTCAGTCTGTGCTCTGAACCAGCCAGGTGCGTATGGAGTCACGCGATATGACTCTCGGCCCGCCCTCCAGTAGGCTCATGGGAAGTGCTCTCTGGCTTTTCCCTCCCTGGAACTCACACAACTTGTGCGCCTTACAGAAAGCCTGGCTAGTTGATTTCTTGGTGGCTTCTCCCAGTCCCAGCATATAAACTTAAATTTTATATTTTCAGAAAAAATTTGAGCAGAAAGTATAGAGCATTCTTATATATTTCTTCACTATCCTCAGCTTTTTCATTGTTAATATCTTGTATTGGTGCCGTGTGTTTGTTACAGTCGATAAAAAGGTTGTCTTTTAAAAATATTTTCAAGAAAATACTTTTGCCATCTTTCTGTAATCTTGGATAATTATCTGAAATCATACAGTCATATGCTTACAACATTTAACCAATAAAGGTGACTTTGTCTGCTTTCACACAGGGTTGTTTAAATGGCTTTATGAAAAATTCCGCTACCCATTCGCTCCAATGTATGGGGGTTTTCCTGTGAAGTTGCGGACCTATTTAGGGGATCCCATCCCCTATGACCCAAAGATAACAGCAGAAGAATTGGCTGAAAAGGTAAATTATTTTTTCTTCTTAATCTTAGAAGAGATTTTTATTTTCAATTATGTTTGAAATGACTTCATTTATTTACTTATATGTTTGACAAGTGTGTTTTGTGCCAGTAGTTCTCAGCCAGTGGTGATTCTGTCCCAGAGGAAAAACTAATAATTTCTGGTGACATTTTTTATTGTCGTGGTGGGCAGAGGTTGATGGAGGCAGTACTGTGGATGGACACTTAGTGGTTAGAGAGTCGGAGTGAAACTGACAGTCACTGCAGGATGTCTGGGAAGGTGTTTTGGAAATACTGGAATGGACTTAGGGACACAGTCAAAACGGTAGCGAAGACACAGTCATTAATTGAGACTATCACTGAAGCTTTCAGCTATGCAAGGTAAACTCAAGAGGAAAAGAGGCCTGAGAGCCTGCAGACAACCACGATTGAGCCAGCTAGAAGGGAACTGGCAGGCAGGAGGACAGGGTGATAAGAGTGGTGAGTGCAGGGAGTGGGAATGATCCGTCACCGTTCTTACAAAGAATCCAGCAAGACGGAATGCTTGGCTTACATCTAAGGAGGAGAGGCCCTGTGCCGTTGGCTCGCTTCCAGGCAGAAGGAACATGGTGCAGGGCACAGTGGACGAGAGCTGTTCAGCCCATGGTGGTCAGGGTCGGAGAGGGAAGGGCAGCGCCGGCCAGGTCCTGTGCCCCGCAGCATCACGCCCTGGTGGCCTGGCCCTCCTGGCCTGGCACATTCTCCTGTGGTCTCATGGGTAGGTTCATTCGCGGAGAAGTGGGCACCCATGGTCCCATTGCCATTCAAAGCCCCATCTCTGACCACCTGGGGCTTCTGGAAGTCATTCTGGATCTAAGCTCCACCTTCTGAGGGCGCTTTCAGAGTCTAAAATTACAGAAATGCAGTCCATGTCACGTTAGTGACGTAAATGTACTGTCTTCACTGTAGTCTGACGTTCAGTACCATTGGGTGCGTCCATGTAGTTGTCCAGTACATCATCCTGCAAAGCTTAGCCTGCTCCCCTTGCCCTAGCTTCTCTGTCCCTCCTCTGCCCCTGCCACCACTACTCACTTTTGACACCCTATTTTTGAGTGGAACCATACAGTTTTTGTCTTTCTGTAATTGGCTATTTTTTAAACCAGTCTTTAGCATGTGACAACATTTTCTTTCTCTTAAGGCTTAATTTCATTGTGTGTATTCACTACACTTCATTTATTGTTCATAAGCATTTGGATTAGTTCTACTTGTGTCTGTTCCTTGGCTATTATGAATAATGCCACAGTGGACACAGTTGTGCGAATATCTCTTCCTACTCTGAGTTTTTTTGGATGTGTATCCAGAAGTGAGGTGCTAAATTATGTGGTCATTCTATGTTTAATTTTTTGGGACCTCCATGCAGTCTTCCACATCGTCTGTCATCATTTCTCATTCTCAGGTAGTACACGAGGGTTTTATTTTCTACACATCTTTGTCAGTCCTTGTTATTTTAAGTTTTCAGTAGTGGCCGTCCTAATGAGTGTGACGTGGTGTCTCCTTGTGATTCTGATTAGTGTTTTGCTAATGATTAGAGGCATCAAAAATACCTTTTTCTTTATATGTCGAACACTTGTTGTGTGATATTTCTGCAGAGAATGTCTGTTCAATCACTTGCCCAATTTTTGGTTGAGTGACTTTTTTGTGGCATTGTGGAATGTCCTCCTATGCCCCATAAATTAGCCCTGGGACAGCTGCATGTCACTGCAAACATTTTCTCCCACTTTGATAGTTTTCTGTAATATGCAGATGTGTAAATTTGTTGTCCTCTCTGGCTCTGTTTACACTCATGCTTTCAGTGTGTTGTCACTACCAAGCCCAGCGTTGCGGAGCTTTAGGACCTAATGTTTTGCTCCTTGAGCCATTTTGAGTTAATTTTTGCATACTTTCTTAAACATCCTTTCACGTATGGGTATTGATTTTTTCCCAAAACCATTGCAGTAGAGCCTGTACCCTTCCTATTGCCTGTCTTGGCACTTGTGTTGAAGATTGTTTGGCTTCGATACGGTTTCCTTCTGGATTCCATCTTGTTTCTAGGAGTGTATTTGTTTGTCTTTATGCCAGTAGAATACTGTTTTGATTATACCCTTACAAAATTAGATTTGTAAGGGTAAATTTGATTATACCCTTTACCTAGGAATTGTAAACATTGTTGCTTTGTTTGTTTTTAAGGTTGTTTTGCCTGTTCTGGATCCTTTTAGATTCCAAATGAATTTTAGTTTTGTTTTTTTCTATTTCTGCAAACAATGATACTGGGACTTTGATAGGGATTACATTGAATTTTTATATTGCATTGAGTAGCTTTTAATAATATCAAGTCTTCTAGTTTTGTTTTGTTTTTTTCTTTCCGAAACAGGGTCTCACTATGTAGCCCAGGCTGGCCTTGAACTCAGGGCGATC